TTGTTTTTGTTTTTTTCATTTTTCTTTTCTTTCTTTTTCTCTTTGTTGTTATTTGGTTGTTTTAGGGCTGTATACCAATTAAGTGGACTGCACCAGAGATTTTATTGGGAAATATCTCTGAACTATCACCTCTCAGTGACGTGTATGTTTCAACTTAATCGTAACTGCATGTCATGATATTTTACCCACTTTTTCTTCGTTGCAAAAAAATCAATACTGTGTTCTGTAATATCTTAAAGAATACCTTAGCTTCCTCATGCTCAATTGATCTCTTTTTCTATTCATCGTTGTCTTTAAAACATCAGACTTACTCATGGTTTTGCCCATATTTGTTCAATTCTCGCATTTTATAGGAAGACATCTACATTCACTTATAATTAGGTCTGCAACTGACGTTATATTAGTACTAGGGCATGCCACATGAGTCCTTATACGGACCGATTATACAACGACATATCGAACGAAGAAAAAACTTTGAAAACGATTATGAGCAGTTAACCCTTTCAAAAAGCTTAGCACCGTGGGTTTTCGACTTTGGGTTTCTTGCTTGAAGTTTTTTCGCCGTTTCGATATCCAAATTGTACCTTTTTGAGCGAATAGAGTAGGCTCCCTTTTTGTAAATCCACTCATAAACAATGCTTTTCTACAGGTGGTCCTATGGAATTGTTCTGTATGAGATATTCACTATTGGTAAGTAACCAGCCGCAGGAGTCCAACGGTAACATTGGGCTTTCTCCAGGTCAGCACATCCCCACTGAGGTACCCTCGATATTCTGAGAGGGCACAGCTCTGGTATTACTTTGAACAAAAAGTTTGTGTCGAGTAAATGATGTGAGTACGAGAATTTTTCATTTAACATTACACTAGTATGTAACTTACACGCTTCTGTAATTCATTGAAGGAGGAATTCCGTATCAGGGATGGTCAGAAGGGAGAGTGGTTGCAGAAGTCACAAATGGATATCAAATGCCAAGGCCTACACATATTAATGACCAATTGTAAGATATTTTTGTACTTAAACTTATTAATTAGTTATTGAACTATTTAATAATCTGTTTGGTGTTCCATTTTCAATCAACATCAAGGTGGTAACATTTTTCAGTAAGTGAAATTTCAAGTTTTATGTAAAGAGGAAACTCACCAAAATTAAGTTGTTTCTTCTTCAAGCCGTTATCACACGAAATTTCAATGTGGTGCGGCTGGGGAGCAGCTGACTGTGATCCACAAGTAGTGTCATTACAAAGCCATAGCCCAAGCAAGTACGATCTAGGTCAGGAACAGTCAAAACGTAACTGAAGTACAAGCGGAGCTAAGCCCATTTAATGAGCTTTAGTCATAGTGAAACCAAGATATCACTTAGGACCGTTCATCTTGCAACTTGATTAGAAAAGATGCAGCCAAAGTGCGCTTAAAGTGCAGTTGAGATGCAGCGAAACTGTAACTGTGGGATACTTTTGAGGCAGGCGGTGTGCGCACTGTTGCTGAGTTGCATCATGGTCGTAAACCGAAAAGCGAGTCATTTGCATCCTGTCGCGGTCGAGTGAACATCTCTGGTGGCATTAAGATAGCGTAAATCAACGTGGAATGTAGTGGGGATTCACTGTCTTTTACCGTTCCTTCGAAAGTCAAAAAATTTTTTGCGGTCCTACGCGACTCCTGTCATTCGTCCGTGACAAATTCGTTGTTAGGAGGTAACTGAAGAGATTCAGAAAGAATGAAAACTGCAGCCTTGCCCAAGAATCTTTTCATTTGGCAGCAGTTACACTCACAGCCAATGGCTGTGTGAATAATATCAAATTCGCGAGTTATTTAACGGGGAATCGACCCTTGACATGCAAACGGGTTACAAAGAGACAGCGACCTTCTAATGCACGAACTGTTTTTCATGTCATACACTTAAAGGCGTGAATACGGGATTCGCCAAAGAAGAGGCCTTACGCCTCCCAAGACGAAATTCGTCACGCTCAACGTTTAATGAAAAACGTACATAGTTTCAAATATGCCTAAAGAATAGAGAATACCTGCAATAAGGTCTTGAGAAACGTGTCTTTGGAATTATTTTTTACAGGAGAGACAGCATACTTGAAAACAAAAAAAAATAGCGCGCGCACATGAAAACATTACATTCTTAATGAATGATTCCGAGGTGAACAGTTTTGTTTTCCCGAAAGTCCTGATGTTTCCCTCGACGTCTCAGAAAACATCAGGATTATTAGGATTCGAGGCAAAACAAACTGCGTGATTGTGTCCTGTTCGGGATACATTTAAATTTGATCAGAAGCACATTACCAAGAATCAACCAGTCACAGTGCTCGTTTTGTTGAGTGAAAGTCTTGGTATAGGACAACACTTATTATAACACAATCTCATCCGGCTATGCCAAACCTCAAGAACATACAGGTGGGGAAATGACACCTTATTATCACATCACAAACGAGTCGTTAAAAGATATCCTAATAACAGCTGAGCTTTCAGGTCAGAAGATTCAAAAGCGCAAGCGAGTGGCAGAAGTCGCACAAGCATATCAGCGCCTTTTAACGATCGACTGCTTTTTGCTTTCCGGCTTACCCGGCGTGTCGTCGAATGCATTGTAGAGTTACTCACTGGTCAAGTGACTCCTTTCATTGCTCTAATTCAACTGTCCTTCATTCAATGATCAAGATAGTAGATTTACCATACAACACGCGCCATCAGTTAATTTCCTTTTATTTAGGAAAGTATACTGATTTACGACCCAATTACTACAATTGAGTATACAATAGTAGCGCTATGTAACGCAACAACAGACCTTTTCTCGACCATGATCGGTCTCAAACACTAGCACTAAAAATGGGAGAAACACATGTATCGTTGGAGAGCGTTTGAGAGCATTTGTGAGCTTCTGGTCAGAGCTGTTGAAGAAGGATCAAAGCGGCCATCCAAATCTTTGAAAAGCTCCAAACTACGACGTACATCAAATTTGACTTTCTCGAATTACATGGAACGACAAGTTACGCGACAAATACGTAAAAAATTACTTTTACAAATTCAGAATAAATCAGAGTAAATTTACCTAGGGTGAAAAGAAAAAGAAACGGCCTAACTTTTACGGAATGTTCAGTCAAAGTCTACCGATGTCTGCTGCTTTCACCGCCATATTGAAAATGAAGCTACCACAATGCAACGCAATCGGAGTGCGCACACCGCCCGCTTTTGAGGTACAGTTGTGATGCTGCAATGAAGATGCAGTCGAAGTGTAGCCGAGGTGAAGCTGAGGTGCTATCACACGTACCTTACGACAATCTTTCCTGCTGATAATGAGGTACCCAGTTTTCAGTGTTAGATTCGTAGCTTTATTTAAAACCAAGTTGTGCAGCTCTTATCGTCTATTATAAAATTTTAAAAGTGATGAATAACCAAATCTTTCTCAGGTATGATATAATGACAAGGTGCTGGAATCTTAGCCCTGAATTTCGTCCCTGGTTTGAAATCCTGCGTCAAAGAATGGATGAATATCTTCGTAATGAGGTTTGTTGTTGTGATATAACGAGAGCAATTACTCTGTTTTTTTTCGGAGCGATAAAGCCTTTCTTTATTTTTCTTGTAGTTATCTCCTTTTCATAAAATTCAAGGAGTCTCTGGCAGCCATTTTAAATCTAAAACCGTTTTAGCCGCGCTTGAATTCAGATTTTAAGTATGATGCAATCTATGACCAATCACAGATATATACAGTGATTATACACTCACTGTAAGAGATGTCACAAAAAATGGAGAAATGAAGAAGTGGTTTGTCGCAAACCAGAGAAAATTATCGACCGCGAGTTTGTGAACAACTTTTCGAATCATGTGCGAAAGTGAATGTGCCCCCCCCGGGCAAAAAGAAGTTCATTGCCTCTGACTGCGTGTACAAGGTATTATCAAGAAACTATTGAGCAAAAAAAACGAACCTAAGAGTAACTCACAAACAGGTTGAATTGCTGTCAACGTCTACGTACCATTTGGCCCATGAACCAATTCACCGCCGTGATCGAAAAAACAATTTCACTCAACACTCACTCATTTATGAATTAGATTGCTGTAAACACTCTAAAAATCCCCTCAGGGGTAGGGGTGCAAGGCTTCCGCAAGGTTATCATAGGAGAGGAGGTGGGGATCATTATAAGCCGAGATATTATAATCTCTCGTTATAAACACATTTATAGAAAGAACGCGGGTATCTATTTTTTTCCTAACAGTAGCTGACCTTAATGAATAAAGTAAAGGATGCAAAGTAAGGATTCTATACAGTTGATGTTATAGTATTGCTATTTTGTCCTGTATTTTCATTTCCAGCAGGATTGTCATGATTATGTTGACAAGGTAAGGAGGGATGGTGGCATATATGAGAGTTCACCCTGAGCCCAAACTTTTATGAGCTTACGACATAATCCGAAGTTGAAAGTCCTTTCTCCCAGAATATAATGATTTGCGACATTAGTGCAATGTTTCACGCAATTTCTTTGTCAGAAATATCTGAGATAAAGCCCGCTACTCAAAGTACCATTTTATCGTTTAACAATGTTTCTAACCTTTTTCTTACTGCTCCGGCCGTTGGGAAAGTCATTATAAACTTTTCGTCAATTTGAATCCGTGATTTTCTGTTATTTTAACACGAAATTGCTCAACCAACTACGCCTACCTGTTGAAGATTTTCACCTGTTTGTTCAGCTGGTGTTCTTCTTCAGTCGTGTGACTAACAAGCTGACACAGAACAAGTGGCGAGTGACTTTAACTATGTGCAATAAAACAAAATTGAACAAACTTTAGACGTTTAGAAAAAGAATTGAAGCAATTACTGCAAAATGTCATGTTAAAAAAGAAGTCAGGCGTTCAAATTACCGGGAGAAAACAATTATGGCTTACCAAATGTTTTAGGTGAGAGGCATAAATAATGAAGATATTCACAGAAACTCGGAAAAATCTCAGTCATCCTTATTTTTAGCGTAAATGAACCTGGCCAATGGAAATACAGTAAATAGAGTTTCAGAGTCCCGGCTTGCTAAACTTTCATACCAAACTAAAAATTATCGCGGTAAAAGGTGTAATTATCAACAGTTGGTTACCTGCATGTGTAAGCTATTGCGCTCGGTTTTGTAAACGTTTGTCATGCTACATAAATTCGCAATATGGTTCATTTTCATCCGAGTTGTTGCATTTCAAATGAGAGCTGGAGCTTCCAAATACGAAGAATTCAAAGTTAATTGGTGTCGCCAGCGAAAATGGCGACTGGATTGGGAACGTCTGCAGAAACCTTGTCAGAACCTTAATTATAGAAGACACGATGGACAACAATATCAAAGGTAACTCGCTATTGAATTACGTAAGGAAAAAAGCCCTGTTATTGAACATAAGATAAGAACTGATTAAGAGATCTCAAATAGGCAGAGTCAAGGCCTGACTCAAAGTTTTGACATGCTTTGATTTAGCTGAATCTTTTAATCAGGTTACCATTGCAAGAGAATATTACCAGGATTTTGTAATACACCAACTTATCCTGCTGACCCCAGAGGAAAACTGGCCCAAAGAGCAAATTTTTCGAGGTCATTCACTATCACCTTTTAACAAACCGTCTTGCTCGCAATAATAATAATAGAAGGGATTTGGCCTACATGTTGCCCGTAGGGCTCACTGACCCTTACATCCTTGATTAGAAATATTTATGGCTCCAGTATGATTTTGTTTATATTTTGAACAATTAATGTGGACAGATGGTAACAGCCTATCCAACCAACTGACAATATTTTGCCTCAGGTTGAAAACGTCTCCTGAACACAGTGAAATATTTGATTTACAAATCCGGCCCGCAGGGGAATATAGTCGGTTTTTCGTCCAGTCCCGCACGCATACTGCTCAGCGGAAGACATTCGGAGGGGACTCGTGGAGAGTGTACATTGAAGGGCCCTCACACCTTGCAGGGACCGTGTTTGATCACAATAATGGAGTATACGAGGTTTTGTTTCTTATCATGGAGCCTGGAGAGTATAAAATCAAAATGATTCTGGATTATACATTGTGTGATGGATTAATTGATCCTCCAATGGACTGGTTTAAAAATGGTAAGAAACAGCTGATCGAAACTGAAAAGAAAACACATTGTAGCTGAAGACCCTTTCTTGTGGGTAATCTCCTGGGGTACTCTGGTAAGACGGCTGATGATATTCAAGATTTCTTAGTGTTCCCATTCGCCGTGCTCGTGTTAAGTCTCATTCTTTACAAGCTTCCAACGTATTCATACATGGTCAAAAACGAAGTACTTTTGCCTCGAAAATCGATCTAGGTCAGAGTGGACAGCCACAATAGGCATGATCAAACCCCGCCATCAGCAAACTAAAGAAATCAGTTAGTCGGTTCATTTATACATCAATGAATGGATTTGCGATTAAGAAATTTTTCTCGCCAACCAAATAGTACTCTGCAATCACGCTAACGAATTTCATGAATTGCGGTAGATGTAAGTGATAGATAAAATTTCCACTCTCTTATTTTCATCCTTTTTCATGTCATTATTTTGTTTGTGATTTATTTTAAGCTCACTGCTCGGGAAAGTTACACAATGTTTCCCTTGGCAAGAATCTCTTCTCAGAAATGACTGGATATATCAACAAACCTCTGTTGTCTGCTAAAACCAAAAAACTTACCATCCCATGGCAACGCCTCACAACCATAGGTACGTTGAAATCCCCTCTTTAGAATACCTTTCTTATAATGTTTTGAAATTCACTTTTTATTTATATTGGGCGAAAAATTTTAGCTGCAGTTCAATTTAATTAAAGCGTTCTAGATACAAAAATAACTTTTACTTTAAAATGCGAATGGAAATAATAATAATTATAAATAATAATAATGTCAATAAGAACCAGCTCTATTTATTGAGAGTAACGCATACATGTAACAGTATAACTCATGATGAACTTTATACATGAAATGACGTTATTTAAACTTAAGAAAGAGCAACCTCCCTTTCACTTATATCTTTTAATTGTACATTTCCCTTAAACATGGGTATTTGATGCTTATGTCCAGTCATCAGATTTTCGGTCATCCTTTGCAAGAAAACTTTACCATAAGTCTAGCGTGCCGTGACTGTCCATAATTTGTCATCTTTGTTCATGTTAGAGATTCAGAAAAACATGCGCCAAGCAGACAGAGAGTGTGATATTCAGTGTAACCTGGTGTGGGATGGCTTTGGTAGATGGGTGACTGGTTACAAATGGCTACCGTACATGAATTTTACAGGAGAAGGTAAGCAACATAATGCAACTGAAAATAGTTCCAAAAAAGAAAAAAAACTCTAAAAACTGCTTATGAAAGGCGATATGAAAGGCGATGTAAATGTGGTCCGTTTCTTTAGAGGATCATGTGATGGATGGAGGAAAAGAGCCTTCTCCGCCGAGATGAGTTCTCTAGAAAGTGCTCAAGCCTAATATTCGAAGCCTCATTAAACAATGAATTCGTCCATTTAGAATGTACGCTACGAGTGAACTTCGCTTGTGGATTACTTTAAATAATATAATTCTTGAAAACGATTGGTTCTTAAAAGCCCTTATTCGTGACTCGACTGGCTTTTTCTAGTCAAAACTGTCAGATTTCACCTTTCCAATTACAAGTAATCAGGCAGCACTTTCAGCCATTAATCATCAGTCAATAAAATTTAATTTCCAAGCTAATGCGAGCCAATTAAAATAAGAAAACTTTTTTTCATCAAGCAGGTTGGAAGGTCGTCGTTGAAAATAAACATATCTCCATACAATAAGAAGTGTGTGTGTTCTTACATTTGTCATTCCTGTGTTTTTCCCTTTTTGCTAATGATATAATAAATAATGGTAGGAGGACCGAGTGGAGTCCAATTTGGTCTTTAATCATACGAGTGATTAACAAAATCGGACAACTGCAAAGCGGGGGTCTGATTTGTCAATCACGAATACGATTACAGATAGAATTGGACAACGCCAAGTCCTGTTACCAATTAATCATAACCACTACAATTTCCGAAAAACAAGAAAATAAATTTAGCAAAAAATTTGGAAATTTCCTTTTTTTTTCAGGGTAAATGGTTGTTGCTATGGTTATTTTGATTAATTCTGTGATTAGTGGATTTAGCTGAGTGGACTTAGTATGATTGGCTGCTCTAACTGTTCGATTACATGTGTTCTAAAACAGCCAACCGTCCGATTACACTGTCTGATTACAGTTGTACAGAAAGATTAGTGAAATATAAAGCAGCTGATGCACCAATCACATTTGAGGAAATTGTAATGGTTATGATTAAGTGGTAGTCAAGCCACTTGTCTTTCAATTTAGAGGCAATCGTGCTCTTAATTTAAAATCAACCTCGTGCTATGCTCGGCAAATTTGAAATCCCTCCTCTGATTACTCCCTGAATTGTACTTCGCTTAGTCCTATTACCACTGCTTACGAATTTTCAACAACAACATTAACATCTACCACTGTATCATTATAAGACAGATCAATCATAATAACCTCAACATATTGGTCTTTGTTCACAGATTTCTCATCTTTGCAAAACAAATATAAACGCCAACACGATCATGCGGTTGGTAAAGGCGTATTCTGGGTCTATGGTGATTCGCTGAGCTATTACTTCTACGAATCACTCAATTTTCCCATGTCGCAAAGCTTGTGCTTTAAAATATTTGAGAAATGCAATAACACGTATAACTGGATATACCCAAAGACACTTTACGAATTGGTAAGTTTTTGACTAATATGCTCGCGTATACAAGCATCACCAAATACAAGAATCTTTTGGCGCTGAATAAGAGTTATCATGTTAATCATCTTTCATATAGCTTTCTTAGCGCCCAGGACGGAGCGTTTTCACACACTTCATCGACAAAAATGTTTTACTGTGTTGGTTGCTAACGTGTCAGTGTTCTCTGCACGACTTTTCTGCTCTTATGCTTGTCCTTTTACAGAAGCAAAACACAGTTCTGTTAATATTTCCAGTCCAGCAGTGAATTTTACCCCCCCTTGATTTTTGTTTTTTTCTGCACAGACAGAAACATGCGCTGAGGTCAACTTGCAAGTTCCCAGAGTTTTAGGCTTTTTCCGTCAAGTGCTCCTTAGGAAAGATATGGACAAAGACAGCGCACTGTTGTTAAATGCTGGAGCTCACTATGTCAAGGTGTTCATGTCGTCCTTCAATTCCGATCTTCATTGTTGTTGATGGCAATGATGATGATTTTATAATCATCGTTATAAATGTTATAGTTCAATTTGTTTATCTTGTGTTTACGCAAAGAAAAGCGAAAAAAAATCCTGGCAATGGAACTTGATCGACATTATGGCAGGGAGGCCATATGAAATTTTTTATTCCTTTAAAATAAAAAAATGATCGGTTGACTAAAATCGCTGTGTTATTTCTTAGACGACAAGTTTCAAAAGTTATAAAGAGGTAATCACAGCACTGATAACCGAAATGAAGAGACTGTACAAGGGCAAAGCTATCTGGAAATCGACCACAGCAATCGATGCTCAATCCGCTGACATTATGGGCGCCTTCCGCAGATTTACGACAAATCACGTGTGTATTTTACGGTTCTGAAATATTATTTTCTTGTTGTTAATATGTTAATATGCATTGCTTATTTTTTACCAACAGCTAATGGAGGAAACTTCACTTAGAAGTGTGTGTAATGGTAATCGTTTCATCAAAGATCTGATTGTTAATTCTCCCTCGTAGCTGCTACACAGTTCCTTGTAATATAGTTACGAGGAGTTGGTGTTAGATCAAGATGTAAACTTCTACCTGATAAGTTTGAGTATTCTCATTACCTGTTCGCTGGATAATGTATGGATGTCAGAGGGAGACGATACATGTTAATCACTTCTGGGAGTTAGACGGTTTATGAGTCGTACGGAAGCCAAACACTTTTTAAAGTATTTTGATTATATCACTATTCTGCAAACATTTATATGCTTCCATCAAAGTTTACCTTCCTTTAGTTTGAGAGGACTGCTCACCGCTTTCAAGGCAATGCAACTGAATGAAATTTCACTTTTTTCGAGCCAATTAAGCCTGTGGAAAAAGGACTTGTGTTGAAGATACACCTGCGGTTGTTCAAACCCTTTAACAAAAGAATTTGATGTTCGTAGTTCACTTTCTGCCCTACTTTGATTAAGTACTAAAAAAAGTGATTCTCTTTCTCTGATTTGTGCACTCTAGTGTAATCAAAAAAGAAACCTGTCTCAAGGAACTGATGCATGGATAGCGTAATTAGTTTGACGACCTATTTGTTCACTTTTCAGAGGATCCAATTGTACAATGCGTTTGCCAACTCAGCCATGTGTGCAGGTGGTATAAGTGTTCTTGATGTATATCCTATTAGCGCCTCATATCCACCAGGAACGAAGGATGGGATACATTACGACAGTGAAACATTTTATCCGGTCATAGAGCAATTGGAAAAATACTTCTCGTTGTCTCAGTTAACATGACCGTGAAGAGTCTATGTAAACTTATTCATACCCTCTCGTGAAGTTTCATTTCCAATTATCAAAATATCTGGGTAATTTAGTATTATCAACTAAGTTGTTAACGTAAATTGGTCATCGTAAAAAATTTAAAAGCTGACGTTTCGAGTGTTAACCCTTCGTCAGAACGATTAACGAAGGGCTAACGCTCGAAACATCAGCTTTGAAACTCTTTAAAAATTAAAATAAAAGTAAAAACCAAAAGCCATCGCCTCTTCCACTCATTTTGCTTCAATTTAAACGAAATAACACTGAACTGAAGTGGAAAAGTTGCAATTTTTTGTAAGATACGCCATTAAGTCACTTAATATTGAATTTCGCAAACGAAACGCATCGATTTGCGATGTAAATCTAATTGTAGGCTTTAAAGCGAACAAATCTACGTTCAAACTTCTCTTACAACCTCTCTTGTGAGCTATGTTATTAAAGATAATTTCCATGTGTGAACTCAGAGGAAACATTGTAAGGTTAATAAGATACATGAAACAATTACTCAGTTCTGATTGGTTAAAATAAATGCAGTTTTCAGGTAATTCAATGCAGAAGAGGTCTAATTCAGTGAAAAGAAGTAACAAACCAGACTGAACAATTCCTTGAACTGTTTAGCCGGACTTTCAACTTTTTTGCGCCTTAAAGATGTAAAAATATTATTGTATATTATTGTTGTGATCGTGTGCGGTTGGTTTAAGCGAACGCACGATTTGAATAAATTATTTTTGCATTTGACGCGCGCGCTTTGCTTCTGCATAATTATAGTAAGGTATCTCGTATTTTTACACGTATATTATCAATACGCAATCGCATGATTTTTCTCGTGCAATTTAGAATAAATAAGAACTTGCGAATTTTTTCAAAGACCACAAATTGCACTTACCCTGCAGGATCGTGCAATTTGAAAAAATGTAGTCGTGCTAATTTATTCCAAATTGCACTCGAAATCATGTGATTACTACACAAATCCACGGGATTCAGTAGTTTCGATTCAGCTAATGTTATGACCCTGTTATCACTACCGAGATGAAATCAACTGCTCGAATATTTTGGTAGACCGTAGCTGTGTATTGACATGCGATATACTTATTGTAAGAAAACCAATTAAAAGAAGCAATCCTCTTGCGTTTATCAATCATGATTTGCTTCTTGCAAAGCTGTCAGCTTATGGTGTAACTAAAGACGCCTTACAACTTGTACATTCTTACTTGACTGACCGTAAGCAACATGTCAAGACTGACGGTATTTTGTCGGATTGGCAAATTATGAGGTGTGGAGTTCCTCAAGGCTCAATCTTGGGCCCCCTTCTCTTCAATATATATATGAACGATGTGAATTTTTTAGATATTTCGTGCTCTTTAAGATTTTATGCCGATGACACTACTGGGTACTCTTCAAACCTTTGTCCATCTACCTTGCAAATAAATCTACAAAACAACGTTGGTCTACTCGCTTCCTGGTTTTGTGAGACTTTCTGGCGATCAATCATGGTAAATCTCAATCCATTGTATTCAACAGAGCAACTTTACCAACGCCCTTTGTTATTGACAGTAATGAACTGTATTATGTTACACATATCAAGCTTCTTGGAGTAGTCATCGACAATTCACTCTCTTTCAACGTACACATTAAAGAAGTCTGCCGGAAAGTGAACACAAAAGTTTCAATTCTCCGTCGCATTCGTAAATTCATACCCTCAGATGTGATGATTAAATTGTACAAAGTTTTCATTCTCCCTCACTTCGAATATGCATCACCACTGTTTGTAGGTCTGAGTAAGGGTCTGTCTGCGAAACTGGAGTCAACCAACGCATTCGCTCTGAGGACTCTCTCAATTATTCTAAATCGACTGCTTACGAAGAGTTATTGAAAACTGCAAATATTAAAAGTTTAGAACATCGACGCATAGAACAAGCACTTATACTTGTATATAAAAGTATTCATAACCAGACACCGAAATATATTCAGGACATGTTTTCTCTGCGAAGTAATGGTTACAGCCTACGTGGCCATCTTAAGGTTGTTCTTCCAAGACCAACCTCATCTTATATGCAACATTCTTTTACCTACCAGGCTAGCAAACAATGGAACAATCTGACAGACAAAATAAGGATGTCGGAATCCCTTTCTATATTTAGGAAAAATTTGCAAGACATACAGTTGTCCTCATCGTATGACTGCAGCTGTTTGTTTTGTAAACAAATAGTCTAGTCACCGATATTCCCTTTTATTAAATTATTGATTACTTTAATAGCAATTATTCATTCTAGATAATTAATTTTTATTTCTTACCTATTACTCATTACTTATACATGTCAATTATGTCAATTTTTATGCCACATTTGCATTTAAACGAGCTATTCGCTCATATGCGATATGTGGTTAAATAAAGTTACTTACTTACTTACTACAAATTTGCCATAGTCGTAATTTCGTTGTTTTCTGGTCCTCACGTAACTCTGATGAGGTTCCTTAATCACCGAGCTTCAAATTTATCATTACTTATTGGAGTTTGGCGACAAAATTGTGTTTGTTTCATTGTGGCTTCTACTCATCTAGTGAAACCGCACTAACTTACCCCTCCCCTCCAGCAATTGTGCACTCGGGTTTAGTTTCCACGCGGCCAACTTCGCATGAACGCGTCCGCGGAGTGTGTTAAGAATTTCGAATAGACATTCGCACATATACTTGGGTTTTTGACTGCTGTTGTTGGCTTGCCGAAGAGAGATATTTTGAAGGTAAGCTCATTTTAATTCTCTAATGTGTTTTCTATCTTTCGAGGTGGAATCCTAGGTTAATTCGATGCAAATTCTTGGAAACATGCCCCTTACCTTTCGAACAATACGAAATTCGAATTCGTTCGGTGGAACTGCAACTGTAAAATAAATGTGGAAAGGAAAGCATTAAATTCTAGTGTAACAAATCGCATAAACGCTGTGGTGGAATTTTTAGATTAGAACATTTATCTTATACAAGGCATAACGTTGCTGGTCAGTCATGTAAACTAAATCATGGGCAAATGAAATAATCATTATTCGGTAAGATTTTGAAGTTCGATATTTCTTCTCGAAGTAATACACTTCAGTTTAATAAAAGGAGTACGATGTCAACTTACACAGTTTTATTTATCCTTATTTTTCTCAAATTTAATCAAAATGTTGTCCCTCTTTACGTTTGAAATTCAAGTATTTTAATATTCTGCATCCAAGGGAATATTGTTGTTGATACCAAAGTAAAGACCTGTGCACCTACACTTTGGGTTATTCTCACATGATCTAAGGCTACGTTTGGTCTTTTCTTGCTTCCTGTTGTCTATTTGCTCCGATAGCTTTGTAGCAATCGTTAACTCTCACTTCGGGTTAGATGATAAATCTCCTGGTCTCCTACACATGCAGTTACAGGGGAATAGGGTGGGTGGGGAGACTTGCATCCCAAATCAGAGCCTCAATATATATTTCAGATTTCCAATGGTTGACATGTCTGATGTAGTCGTTCAGTTCAATAAATTATAATCAGTAATTGGCTCATTTCACATTAAGGCTACACTTCTCACATGTTCAAGTGGAGCTTTGTTTTATACATAGTGATATTACACACTGAAAAGGCATGAAGTAAATTTTTATACACAAGCTGGTTTTTTTCTCATGTAAGGAAAATGATACATCTACTCAGAAGCTATATTTCATATTTCTTCACATGTAAACCATACCAAGGCAATTCTTTTTAAACCTTCCCTGGAAGCATTTTGCTTTTCAAACCATTTGGAAAATTTATCAAATTCCACCCTCAGGGCTGTTTATTAGGTCAAATTACTTACAAAAGATGAGTGAGGAAAGATGTGCCACTTACCAGACTTTTGTGAAGGATTATGTGGAATAGAAAGCTTGCAGAAAAATGCACAAAAGAGAAAACAAAGAAAGATTTGAAAATTTTCAAAGAATTTTTGCATTGCAAAGAAAAATTAGACATTTATCTTGATAATTTTATTCCCTCTGTTTGACAAAAAGATGGAGAAGATTATAAACGGTCATGCCTTGTTTTGAGAATTAAGAGGTATTTTCATAATTTTTTGCTAGCTGACGGTAGTGTTGCATTATTTCTATCAGCAAGACAATTTGTATAATTTACATCTTTTAACAATTAATAGTCATTGAGCAATGATTGAATCTCCATAGCCATATAATATACATAATACACCAGAAAGAGTGTCTGTATGGTATTTATGTACTTGTCATTTTGTATCACAAATCTCACTTATTTGTCAGGCTTATTCATTACATTTATGATACTTAAACAAATTGCATGTAAATACCATACCAGACTTTCCATGATGTATTTTTGATACATCCTACAATATCAACAATTTATTATCATTGACTGTTTCCATTGTTATTGTCCATTGTTGACTTATGGGGGGATGCTATCACAGATGCAAGGGTTGATCAAAAAACATTTAAAAACAATAAAATAAACTTTCTCAAAACTTAAAAACAAAAATTTAATCACAAGAATCAATGATTCTTTGGGCAAAGCCCATGGGAGAAAGGAGTTATCTTCACCATTGCAAAGGGTGTTGCTACAGCTCTGCTAACTTATATGCGTTCCTTTAATATACCTTGACTGTTACAAGCATCATGCTTACCAAACAAATGTAAAAGAGTTTTATAATTTTGTCACTTCACTTTTCAGAAACATCTGCTTCTCAGTTATATGAGCCATGGATTTTAGTCAAAATGATGACTATATTGGTGAGTTTTGAAAAGGAATTTTGAAATAGAGGGGATGAAAAGAGAATGCAGATGAATGTTGAAATTAGATGGGGATGAAATAAAATTTTTTAATCAAGCAACCTGAACATCAGATTAATTTTAATTCTTGAAACATTCATTAAGATTGCTTTCTAAACGTGGTCACTTTTGTAGGTAACATTTCAGTTTGCATGATTTTGCTCTAGAAAGGGTAATGAAATATTATCAACTGAGTTGATAACAAAAACTGGCCACTGCAAAGATTTTCAAAACTGACATCTCGAGCATTAGCCCTTCATTAGAGCCCTAGCCCTCATCACTCTGACGATTTCTTTAGAGACTTAACCCCTTTGCTCTAGAAAGACTTTTAGAGACTGTCATAGAACATTGGTATCAGTGATACATTATATAAGCTACTGGAAAATTGAATTAAGACTGTATTGAGATACTTGAAAAAGCAGTAGTTTTATTTGTCTTTTAGTTTGTGATGACTGTGGAAAACAATTTATCTCTGGTGATTGTCCTGATCATGGTCCATTGGAATGGTATGGTGACAGCCAGCTGTCAAATGAAACACCTAAAGGAGACCAAGCTAAGTTAACCCTCCCTAACAACCTGAACATCATGCCATCTGCAGTGTGGCAGGGCCAACTGGGTGTGTTTGCAAAGGCAAGGATGGAGAAACAAGTTATTTTTGGACCCTTCAAAGGACAGAAGATTCCTGCCAAAGAGTTCCCTCTAAGAGAAGATCACAACTTTAAATACATGTGGGATGTAAGTATGCAATAATAACTTATTGTCCTTTTATTGTTCAACTCCTAACATGTTCTTTACATGTATTCACAGTGATTGGCTAATAATGGGTTAATGGGTTCAACTCCCAAATGTTCTTTGCATGTATTCACAGTGATTGGCTAATAATGGGTTACTTCTATGAGGAAAGATCATTCATAACCATTTATGAGATTGAAATGACCCCTCTTACTCTGTGTACCTATGAGACCAAGGGGAATTCCTACTAAATATGGCATTCCATACCTATAACTAGTATAGTCACATTACTCTGCACCATCTAAGTTTTTGCTGGCCTCAGCCTTGGAAAGGGTAGATAAATCTGTTTAGAGGATAAATTGCTTGCTGGTGGAAAGAGTAGTTACTTTGATGGGAACTTATCTCCTGATGGCCATTGCTTTTTCCATACCCACCATCCAACAAATTGACCCTGATCAACAAAAAGAAAAAGAACTAATCCCTTAAAGGCTGAATGATGCATCGGACAAGATGAATCACTAATTAACCCTTTACACCCTAATATCAGTATGCATATTCTCCATACTGTTCTCTGTATGTTTCCTAAGGTTGGTGACAAGGAGAATTTGTTTAAAAATCAAGAGCATACTAACTTGGTGATCATTTCCTTTATTCTTGTGACCCTAATGTGTGATTCAGGGATGATATTGTAAGGAGAAATTAGATGCTTGTCACCCTCAGGGGTCAAGGTGTTAACAAATTAAAAGCATCCTCATAGACTCCTTTCTGCTGAATGGCTCTCCATTTCATGGATACAGCTGTAACATTATCCATTAATCTAACAACCAAGGCCAGGGGCTGAGAAAAACGACACCTGTCTCCACTATTGTGAGGAACTACAGAGAGAAAATAAATAGAAAAACCCATGCCCCAGTCATGTTTCTGCCCCTGTCAAGCTCATGATAGGAGCATTAGAAGTGGAAACTATGAAACAATTTCCAAGTTTTGCATAACTGCACACAAATTGACACCTCCCTCCTTACCGGAGACTCTTAGCAGTCAACGCGTACCTACAGAGACAGAGGTATAACTATTTTGTTCAGACAAAGACTTTGTGAACCTACAACTGCTTAAAACAACACCACTTGAAAAGAAATAAGTCGTGCCCAAACTCAGGTGGATACTGTAAATTATTAGGGAAGTATTAAACCTGGTACTCATTGTTTGAGCACTAATAACATACAGGAAAAAATTACTCAGTTCTAATTGGTTAATGCAGTTTTCAGTTAATTCAATGCAGAAGAGGGTTAATTCAGAGCAAAGAAAGTAACAAACCATACATTCTGATTGATCTATAATCAAAGAAACTCACAGATAGCCAATCAAATGCGAACCTTAGATGTCGCAACATTTGGCTACGCTGAAATTTTGCAAGCGAAACAATGGCCGTCGTTTTAAGTAAGTTTTCTTTCGCCACCGCAACAACAATACAGCAGCTGAAAAGCAGCTTTAACAACGAAAATAGTGTAAAAAGCACTGCTTTTTGGTTGTCGGTTTGTAAAAAGTGGTGTTTAGAGAAGGGAATTGCCAAGGAAATCAAAATTACGAGCCGATCCAGCTTAACACTTTGCTCAAGCGATTCTACGCCGAAGTTAAAAACAAACGTGGTTAAACGTCGCAAACGACGATTCCATTCCATCGAAAGTGATTCTGACACAGACTGAACAATTCCTTGAACTGATTAGGCGGACTTTTAACTTTTTTGCGCCTTATGGATGTGACAATATCATTGTATATTATTATTTTGATCGTACGCGGTTGTTTAGACCGAATGCACAGGTTTGAATAAATTATTTTTGCACTTGATGCGCGCGCTTTGCTTCTGCGTAATTATGATAAGCTATCTCGTGTTTTTTCATGTATATTATTAATACGTAATCACATGATTTTCCTCGTACAGTTTGGAATAAATAAGCTCTTGTTAATTTTTTCAAAGACCACAAATTGCACTCGCCCACTTTCATGGATTAACTCTTTTGCAAATGTGTGTCTGTAGCTTGGTTTTGAGTATCTACTGACAAGGTTATGATTTATCCAGGAGATAACACTGCCCAACGATAGAATAGCAACAGGGACAGGTTTCTAAGCATCTGGCTATGGTGCCTCTTCCATACAAATATCTTTAACAAAACTAAGAAACCTGCGAAAACTGATCGTTAGAAATTACTTCCTAGATTCTTGAAGATGGAAAAGTCAGTCAAGTAATTGATGGCTCAGATGAACAGAACAGCAATTGGATGAAGTTTGTCAACTGTGCACGCGACGGCGAAGAACAGAACTTAGTGGCTGTGCAGTTCCGTGGTGAGATTTATTACAAGACATGCAGTCCAGTGGAGTCTGGCACTGAGCTGTTGGTGTGGTATGGTGACAGTTTGTCAGTGAAGGTTGACAGTTTAGCTCAGAGGGATGGTGAGTAAAATGTTTCCTTGAATGGATTTGATCACATTGTTTAAGTTAAGTTTGAAAAAGTATATTTTACAAATAAAAATTGATTCCGTGTTACCGTGTGTCTATTTCAAATTATATAATAAGCTCAGTTTAATGCACGCATTCTGATTGGTTCTCACTTAAGATCTATTGGAGGACAGACGTATAGATTACGTCATCATTAAAACTTTTTTTTAATTCTTTATTATATAAAACAAATAGATTCCAAGTTGCCGTGCGTCTGTTCAGTAATAGATCACAGAGGACGTCAAAATGTGGTAAAAACATCGGTGACACACTCGACTGCGCCTCGTGTGCCACTTTTTTGTTCTTACCACATTTTGACGTCCTCTGTGATGTATTATTGAATAGACGCACGGCAACTTGGAATCTATTTGTTAAATAGAGCACAGATGACGTCAAAATGTGGTAGGAACAAAGAAGTAGCGCGCGAGGCGCAGCTGAGAGTGTCACTAATATTTTTGCCACATTTTGACGTCTGTGATCCATTATTGCACAGAACCACGGTGACATGGAACCTACATGTGCATTTTATGGGTTAAAAAGGCATATTGTTGTAAATGGTGACGTCATCTATGCGTCTTTCCTCCAAGAGATCATTAGTTAGAACCAACCAAAGGCGTATAAAATTCATTTAGATTAAGATTTTACTCTGTTTCTTCAAGTCTACGTCATTTACAGTGTTGCTTTCAGTGTCTTAACGGCCTGTACATAGACACCTCAGATTGAAGTGTCTGTGCTCATACTCTTGGTGGTTCAATATGTTGTATTCCTGGGAAGAACACCGCACTCCCACAAAGCTTTTCTCCAGCCAAGGGTATGAATGGGTATGAATGCTCACACTGCTCCAGTAAACTGTGAGGGAAACGGAGATCAGCCACAAGGATATAGACTACTTGACTCGAAATCACACTCCACTTTTACATTTCCAGTCTAATATGAGAATCTCCTAGTTCAGTGAAAGTTATACTCCGTTCTCTGTGTTACGTGATTGTTGCCTTCACTTGATTGGAATTTAACCAGGTCATCTTTCGTATCTTTACTGATGTGTTTAATCCTAACAATACTACACATTTATTACTGTTGAGTTGCAATTATAGTGGTAGTTTTGATAGTTCTTATAGTTCTGATAGTTTTGTAAATTGTTCGGTTTTGACTGTCGTAATTCCTCTCTCTGTCTCTCTTTTTCTTCATTTTTCTTTCTTTCTCTTTATTTCACTTTTTTCGCAACATTTCTTAATGTAAACGGAGTTTTAAGTTATTTTCATTCCAATTTTTCTTTGTTCTTCTCTGTCCAGGTCATGATTATAACTGTAATACTTGTGGGTTGGTATTCGCTGGGTCAACCTTTCTTCGACGTCACAAGGCAGTTCGCTGTCCAGGCCTATCCCTTGACCAGACAAATACTGTGCATGACCAGACAGCTATAGAGTATGAGCCCGCGCAATCGTCTGTCACTGAGAATACTAATAACGAGGTTAGAACATCGCCTAGAGATGCAGAGTCGTTGTATGTTGTCGACATTGGGACCACAATCAATGGAACCAACAGTACGATTGTCGAGGAAGGTTCACGTTATGTCCGCGTGCTTCAGCTGGAGCCCGCATCTAGCTCACGATCTTCAAACCGAGGAGGAAGAAAAGCAGTAAAGCAAGCTGCAACAACAAAAGGCGCAACCAAAAGAAATCCCTCCGCGCAGAACACGAGAAAAGCAAAGCGAAACTCGAGGAAATCAAATGTAGCGGAGGCTCAGAAAATAGTTTCTTCAAATACTACAAAAGCGCGAAGTTCATCGTCTGGTAAGAAATCCCTGTCCTCTGATAGAACTTCCCGTGGAGCGAAAAGGACTACAAATTCCCGCCGCGGAGATGTTATAAAAAAGAAGCAAGCATCGTCAGGATCAGATAAATCCCAAGTCCAGAAAAACACCAGAAACTCGAAAGCGAAAGGTGATTTGTCTGCTAATAGCATGAGAAGTTCCAGTGATACCAGTGAGGACGTGTTAGTAAGGGAAGAATCTTCAGGAAAGGAAATAAATGAATCCACAAAGAAATCAAAGTCTGAAGAAGCAGAAAAACAACTAAACAATTCAAAATCTCCCTCGTCTCGGAAAAGAACAAGCGAAGGAGACGAAGGATCAACCGCAGGTGAGGTGAAGAAAAGGAAAAGGACCGTGCCTGCAGATAAACCCATATTCACCTGTGAGCAATGCTCCAGAAACTTTAAGTGGAAGTCTCAGCTAAATTACCACATGCGAAGTCACTCGGAAATCAAGGAATTTGTGTGTTCTTTTTGTGATAAGCGTCTCTCCCAGTTGTCCTCCCTAAAGAGACACCTACGCGTACATAGTGGAGAGAAGCCGTTTGGATGCGAAGAATGTGGCAAGAGGTTTGTAGAGAAAGGAAAGCTTACTCTTCATCTACGCAAACACTCTGGGGAACCACTGGAGAAGAAGTTCAAGTGTTCCATATGCGACAGAGGGTTCACGTTAAGTGCAAATCTGCGCACTCACATGCGAACTCACACTGGTGAAAAACCTTACCCTTGTCCTCAGTGCGGCAAAGGTTTTAAACGAAGCTCAGATATCATCAGCCACCTCCGGAGTCACACAGGTGAGCGGCCCTATAAGTGTTCTCATTGTGACAAGTGTTTCACAATGATCTCGCACAGAAACAGGCACGAGGTAATTCACACTGGAGAGAAACCGTTCAAGTGTGAGTTGTGCGGTAAAGGGTTTACCCAGCCAAACTCGGTCAAAGCCCACTTGAAAGTCCACGAAAGAAGGCAAGCCAAGCTTTCAGGCGGGGAAATGAGACAAGAAAAGCAAAAGAAAAATTTCCGAGATGGAGAGATACAGACGGATGTTCGGCCTGGAACAGACAATGACGTGCAGCTAGGAGTCCTGCATAGTGTAGCCTTAGGACAGGGAACTTGCGGAGAGAGAACGGAAAAATTGCTGGGTGTGCAAACACAGATAACGGAAAACGGAAAACATTTGCAGGTGCCTATAGATGGTATGCACCAGAAGGACTCAGAAAATGCACAGTTAAATCAAGAACCAAGGCCTACCGTACAGCCTGAGGACGTACCCCTGAGTAGTATTAATGTAGAAGGTCCTGTAGGAGAAGATGTAGCTTCGAGAGATAAAACAGAACTCACAACAATTGCAACAGAACAATTAAAATTAAGCTACACAGGTCAAGATCACACCAATGAGCTTCTAACTTTTGATAACACCCTTGTCAATAGTAAAGCACTCTTGCAAATTAGCAGCGCGGCGCCAAGCGATGGTGTTGAACACTGTCAGTTAGAGCTGGCTCCAGCCAGTGTTCAGGATCAGCTACAGCAGACTGAAGAAAATGAGACAACGCTTTTTGCACTTTAATGACCCTTTTATAAGAGGGCTTCTTGATCCAGTGTATTTTAAAAGTCTTTTCTCTCCGTCCCACAAATTTATATTAACTTTCAGTTACCTATCATTTAAGTTAAGGGGTATATGAACTAAAAAGTCCTAGTGTTATTAAACCCAAAACTGTTACAGTATCACTTGATTGCCTGGAACTGGAACAGAATTTGGCAGACTTAATTTTCTTTGTGATGAGAACACCTTTATAACACTTCGCCTTTAACTTGTTATTTTCTTCCAGGAGTGCTGATAAGTAAAACCGGTTTGTGTAGGTTCTTGAATTTTGAAATATCGAGAAATCTCAGCTAATTGTTTGAAAGGAGGAGGGGGAATTAGTTTTAAATTTTAGGGGTTAGAATTAGAGTGTCTGCCTGATGCACGTTCAATAAAACGACTGTTGTTTGATAAATGGGGATTTTCCAAAAAATGGAGAGATCGAAAAATCCATATGTAGTTATTTGGGAACAAGAACAGCGCAGTGAAGCACATTTGGTACGAGTAGTCAGTGTACTACAACTTTGATCGTGACCAACAAAAATTTGATCCATAGTCGGTTGAGCAGTATTATTTATATTGACTCGGTTTTTCCTCTTTAGTACCAGTGCTGTTGTATCGTGTAAATGTACCATTTACAACGACATTGGCATCTCAGTTATCGTTTTGAAACAGAACCTGTGTCTGTCTCGTTTCTTTGTAAGGGGGGTTTTACTGCACTTCCTTGTGTTAGAATTGTACTAGACCCATTCCCCGAGCCAATACTGTTGGTTGGTGTTCGTCTTTTGTTATTTTCCATCTTTCGTCGAAAGTAATGCAAATATTCTATATCTTGATAGAGCATCTTTTCGCACAGATATCGATTCAGCGACGAAACTGCCTGGTTCAACTGTATTTTTGCTAAATTCATCGACTTTCCTAGACAATCATGCTCCATTTCTTCGTGTTTAGTTCTAAACTCGTGGAGTTCCTCGAAGAACTCTTTTCCTTCGAGACGGATCTCGTTCCAAAGTGTCTCGTTAAAGAATTGATACAACATCGTGTCTGCATTGTTCCAGCGGTAAATTTGTTCAGTGATGTTACCACTGGTATTCTGGTGGGTTCTTCCACCATGGAGTTGATAATGAAACTTAAGATATACAACATCATCTAATTCCCAGCATAATTTTCTCTTCAACATCACCAGTGATTCGTCCAAGTATTCATAGATAAGTACCAGGGTAAATTTATCGTCAATATCTAATATGGCGTCTCGTACCATCTCTGGTTTGTGGTAATCCGTGGTTCGGAGTCCAAGATCGAAGAACATCCCATTTTTTATGAGATTCAGAGAATCCTGCAAAATACAGCAAGTCAGTATGGATGCTAATACAAAAGTCAAAAAAGTACCAAAACTGAACTAATCGTAACATTCATATATTGAAGCCGATGAAAATAAGTGTTATATCATAGTACCTCGATTTGACAGAAAGGAACGTTTAGTCGGGTCATGACGATTACTCGTTTTCCGACAGAAAAGCAAAAGAATCTGTCACTACGAACTCAAATTTTGGTGAAGGTTGGGCTAGGGAGGCGGTAATATCCAAAATCCCGCCAAGCTATTATGCTGTATTTTCGCATCCCGCACGTACATGGGTCGATTTCCGGTTTCTGAGAGGAACTCTGCAGATCCTGAGAGTCGTGCGTGAGTTCAGGGCAGTCATCAGCGTCCTTGTCGCTTATTGTATGAAATGTTTTACATCTATATCGCGCTTGTCTGTGTTGCACGATTGTAACGGGCTGTCTCTCCTCATGTTTCCAATAGCAAGGTATAATATGTGTATTACGTCAGTCTGTGTTGAGCTTTGAGTATGCCGTTTTGCTTTGTGGATTAAAGAAAGAGCTATGTAACATGTGCATTGTGCTTGTCAATGTGTTACGCACTTATATCGGGCCGTCATAAAGAATATTTAATTGTGTAGTGCTCATGTTTGTGTTGGCCGCTTGTGTTTTCTCTATCACCAGACTGGGTAAATTCATCCGACGAGCGGGCTCCGATGGGCTCGTATTCAAATTTTGAGTGATATTTCCAGTTAGTTTATCTGACAATGCCTGTTACGCCTGGAACCTAACAATGTATGTTTGAAATGTATGTAGGAAGATGGGAACACTTTGAAAATGATCCTTCATCATTGAATCAGTTTATAACAACTAGCTGATCGTATATGAGCCAAACATCAAAAATATCCTGGGTAAGCAAACTCGCTGGGGAGACAACATCATAAGGCATTATGAACGAAAGTTTACCTTGAATCTCTTGCGCTGAATGGCTCTTCCAATGTATTTTCGAGGATTTTCCAAAAATTTCAGAAAAGGATATTGTTGATCTCCAATTTCTAGGATTTCCTGAAAATCCAAGTTTCGAAACGTCACCTCAAAATGAGACACCGGGTCACGTAATATAGTAATGAAAGCTGTCTGCGATTGCATAATCTCATCCATGACGTCACCATTAAAACGAGCGTGATTGCAAAGTATGCTGGGGAGGGTTCCGTCCAATAACATGATGTCCACATATTTCCAGTGGAATCTTGAAGGCCAATAAAATGTCGACAGTCCTCCGCTAGGTAGGGCAATGCGCAGGTTCCGTAAATCGGCGAATCGATTTAGGATATTGGCAACGACGTCACTTCCTGTATAGTGTGTCTTGAGGAAAAGAACATTCTGGATTGCCTTCTTACAGCTACGGATTCTACAATATTTATAAAAGGAATATCTGAGGTTAAACTCTGCTCAATGATTCAACGAGAATACTCACACTCAGAGAAGGAGCCCCAACTAGAGAACTTAACAAGAAGATGCGCAAAATCGCTCAATGGCAACCTTGTAACTGAAGCTGGTTTAACTGATTGACAGTTAAACCATCTTAAAGGTACTTATTAACAAGCAAACCGAACAACTCCAAGTCTGTGCTGTACTACAATGCATTGATAAGAAATTCCGTATAATATTACTCAACTGAGCCCACGAATTTCTTTGGTAGGTCAAAGCACGAATGACACAAGTCGCCGTACGTTCCTATTCATAAATATTTATGGTCACTAAAGCTGTTCAGAGCATGAAAAAGTGCTGACAGTGGTTGATAGACGTAAGGCGAAGGACTTGAGCTATTGTCATGAGACTTACGTGTTTGAAGGTAACTCTGACACTCACTTTCTATTGACTTGTTTTTTGGTGGGCTCCATGTATCCCTTTTGCCACAAGATATAATCTTCCACACCTTCCAATTCAAGATACCGTCCTTGCCCGTAGTCCAGTCCAGTATCTTGCGCAACTGATGGAGGTAATTCGTTGTTTGATTGGTTAGATTCTGGTTTGTCTATGACGTTGGTGTTTATCATGTTTCGAACTGTTCCGCTATAGTCGATGTCGTCTTTCCACACCCAACCATCTGCAATTCGGAACCTGGCCCAGAAAAAAAACGATATTGATTGCATATTGTTTTGGATAATGTTGCAACGTAATGTTATTACAATACTTTGTTTTAAAAATATTGCTTCTTACTTACGACTGATGGTTCATCTGAACATTGATAAAGAATTATTTACTAAAGGTCACTTTAATACGCAATGAATTACATTGAACGTCTGGTTTAGCTTTTTCATACTAAATTTCACCTTTTAAAAACTATTTGCCCCATATTTTCGAAACATCCTGTGGTCATCTTACTATTAAAGAGGAAAAACAGACGCCAGACCTCTCATCTCCCGATCTTCGATCTCACATTTAAACAGCCTAGAACGGCATGAAAGAATGAAGGTAATTTATTGGGACCAGTTGAGTGCCATTGACTGTGTCATTACTCTAACTATTAGTAATGGTTTGAGTTGTCTCGCTCACTAAATCATAGTCTTGGACCTGGTCCGCCTCAGGGAAACAGGTTACCAGCATTAGTTTGTGTTCATCAGAAACTTTCAATGGAAGCTGCGTATCGATTTAATTAAACTTGGTCGGTAATAAAGTTAACAGTTTGTCATCAATTAACTTCATCAGTCTCAATGAGGCCAGAGAAGAATGGAAAGTGAGTTCACCTCAAGCACCAAACAGTTATAGCAATTACTTTGATCAATAATAACATCTAAAATAAACGTTTCAGTGATCACACCCAAACAACCCTCCCTGGCCCTATCTGTTTTTGTCATAAGTTCAACGTACCTTAACGGAACTTCGACCGGTTTGTTGTCAAGCTCTGCAGCCGGTAAGCTTATTCCAAGATCTCGATACAAAACAATATAAATAGCACAGAAGATTATTCCGCAGAAAACAAGATGAACGCACCGAACCCGAAATCGGTTGAGTCGACTGGCGACTCTCATCATAAACAACCAGGGTAGGCTAGTGTAAAAACAGGCTTATGCCGCACGGTCAAGTGTTCGTGAAAAATTTCGTTATCTACGTGTACTATCTTTTCTGAAAAATCCATATAAGTTATAAATAACAGCAATAATTAGAATCTATAGCAGAAGTTTGAGAGCCGCCAGGTAGCTAACGGGTGATTCGTGACGTCACGAGCTCATTGCATGGTACCCGCGTCTTTTGCATTTACTATCCTCAGACCCAGTTCTTTTCTAATATATGAGAGATTAAAAATGACGTTTATAGCAAACTTCCTGCTGTCAGGTTTCGCATGAAAACTGCGTGTTGTATAACGTTCACGGGTCGGTCAAAATAAAGAAATACGATGTTTCTGGCGTTTGTAGCTGTTTGTTTTGAGAAAACGCGTTGTTATCGGCGATTCACCACCCGGATGCGGTGATTCCAACGCATTTTCTCGTATTTCCCGTTCGGCTATCGTGCCGAAATTGGTAATATACTCCTATATTCATCGGTGTTTTGCACTGTTAACCATACGGACATCTATATGCGTGTGTGTGTGTGTGTGTGTGTGTGTGTGTGTGTGCGTGTGTGTGTGTTTTCACCTTTTTGCCTCCTATAATTTCCTTGGCTCTAAGCTCCTTGCATTGGAACAATTGGGAAGAAGTTCCATCAATCGCCAAATCCACTGCGCAAATCAAATAATCAATTGGACAAATTCCTTCCCTTAAATGACGCAATTAATAAAAGCCCTTACATAATTTTTTCTCAAGCCTTTCTTTTCTATTACCAATCAACCAAACAGGTATTCGGCGAGTTACATCAGTTCACACAAATAATTATACAATTTTACAAATATTTACAACACTAGAAACCTTGAAATCTAAAATTTAAAAAAAATGAAAAAGTATCAGCAAAAAAAAGAGGGCACTCTTATTACAATATTTACAAAATTGTATATCCAAACCTTGGCAAACAAATGGAATCTGCTTCATTTCAGTCAATAAAATGAAACTACTTAATAAAAAGAACAAAACTTGCACAAAAATGAGTGAAACATAACATCTGTTTACCATCTGAGGTGGATCATATGTAAAATTGGAAAATGTTTTAGTGCATATACGTGAAATTTGGATAATCATGTTGAGACTCAAACAGGAAGTTTTAAAAAACCTATTACATAAGTTATCAAGCTCAACATTTGGATCCGTTTTCTTGATTTTGATAAATATCATAAAAATACTCTAAGCTAAAATTATTGACCGAGACGGTCGGACAGAAATTTATTTGACTCGAGGTTCCGACCTTACCAACCATTAAGCATTTTATCACATTACCGCTGCTCTTTCACTTCTACCTTGCTTCTTGCATTCTGCAGCTCACGAACTGTACGTGGGGCCGTAAGGATCTTTACGGCCCCACTCGCGCCCCACGTAAGGCTCCCGATACGGGGATTAGTTTGCCATACATTGTTGTTCACCAACAGCACGCACGGTTTGTATGCTGATATGTTAATATTATTTGACTACATTGACAGTTACTTCAGTTTCAATTATTCCTGTAGGTTTTAAAAACTACAGTTCTGCCTCATTCATTGGCAAATTGATCAATTTTTCAGTTTTAGCTTTCCTTCATCAGTAGATCAGTTCCATGTACTTCGTTGTTGTTAGTGCTACAACATCTCTTATTTTCAGATACAATTCTTTGGTAATTCAGTGAAGATTTTCCTGGTTATGCGGTAATTTCCTTTTTCGATGTTAGACAAGTATATATTATCACCCTACAGCTAAAATGGAAATTAACAGAGCCTTTTATATGCACGATTATTATTTACCGAAACGTTACATGCCCTAAATGAATCACAAAGTTCCAAAAAGTTTAAAGTTTTTGTTTAGGGGGTGGAGGAGTGGGGCTTATTATCAAGAGGGCGCTTATTGGAGCTTTGGAGACCAAGATATTGGGCTTCTAATAATTGATTCTGTGAAACATAGCACTAATTAATTAATTAATAGTAAAACAATTATGAAATTGATTAAAAGGCCTTCGATGTCAGACTTAAGCAGTTTAAGACATTACAAATGTACCCGCTCTGATGTACCAACCGGAAGCTCTCTTGACAGACGGTTACTGATAACTTTGTAACAATTGGACGACAGTCATTTTTTTCTCCTTTTTAGAAAAAAACTATTCCTCGGAAGTCCTCGACCTTGTTCTCGCCGAGTGAGTGTTTAGAAAACTTTGAAAGTTGTTGGATTTTAAAACATCTTCCATCGTAAACACCGTCACGGCGTTACGTCTTTGTCGATTATGTCTCTCGGACAATATCAAACGATCCTGCTGATGTCCATCACTGTGATTCTGCTCTTGAAATCTGTCAGTGGAGCCTGGAGCCGATAAGAATGCTCTCCATCCCATTCCGTTTCTATCTGTTAATTCAGATCCTGAAAAGATCACAAGAAAGCTACAACAATTCAAATAATATATCCAAATTACATCTAGGGCCGGTAGCACATCAGGGAACGTAAGAAGTCGTTAGAAAATGAGCCTGTACGTATCCACTAAGATAATCGAATTGATTTATTATATTTTCCTCGCCTTATAGATTTTCCGAGAATTCACCTTTTCACCACCCGTTAGTCTTGTCCGCAAACCGGAAGTGAAACATGAATAAATGAAACTGGAAAAACCACTTTCGAGAAAATCGAAGGTGGTTTTGTATGATCATGAACGCAAAGACAAAGAATATCGTACATCTCGCCGGGAATTAAGTCATTTAAATTCGATCTCTAATTTGACGTTGCAAAATGTGCAAACAGGTTGTACCTTAGATGAAGATGCTAAAGTCGCCTTTTGAAATCATTCATGTATCTTTTTGATCCCTTGCCAATGTAGCTTTCGCTCGAATGAATATCGATGAAATTTCCGTTTTGTGAAAATTTTGTGGGTTATGATTTTCGCTGATTTAGCGGAATGCCCTGTGTATGAAAAATTAGGAATTATTGTCACAGTCATTTAAATTCGATCTCTAATTTGACGTTGCAAAATGTGCAAACAGGTTGTACCTTAGATGAAGATGCTAAAGTCGCCTTTTGAAATCATTCATTTATCTTTTTGATCCCTTGCCAATGTAGCTTTCGCTCGAATGAATATCGATGAAATTTCCGTTTTGTGAAAATTTTATGGGTTATGATTTTTGCTGATTTAGCGGAATGCCCTGTGTATGCAAAAATTAGTTTTCGCAATTCCAGTGAAACTATTGTTCACCTCAAACGCATCAATTTGTTGGTACGACATAACAAAATAATCGCTGATGTACCAAATATAACTCCAATAAAATTTTCGGGTATCACGAATTTTCCTTTTTACTTTAAAAAGGAAAACTGGACTTCTTTTACTTCACTCATGCGGTTTATGGTAGTCCGGATGTATCTTTTAAGACGGCACCGCGTGTGAAACTACTTTCGATCTGTCAAAACTCAACTTCATAACGTGGCGTAGAGAATACAGACAATAGAAATAAATTAACATTATAATAATTTGTGTTCAGTTTCTCAGTCTCGCTATCACGAAAAGAAATATAAGAAATCTCTCTCTTGTTTACAACTGAAGAAATGTCGCGCATGAGTGAGTTTTCCCACCGCGACCCACAATAACATCAGTCAAAAACAATGTCGGGCTGTAAATTTGCATCATCGAACCAGCTCAAGGTAAACCCCCGGGAAAATAATTAAACAAGCTGAAGGAGAAAAACATCAACTGCACTCGATGTATGAAGTTTAAAGAACTTTCCTGGAAGTAATTAGAAGCCAATTTTAAATTGTTGGACCTTTGCAATTGTTGAAACAGACTAGACCAACGGATATATTCCGCAATATAATTATCAAATCCTTAGCAGGTACAGGCTGAAACTGAGTACTCTTGGACGAATTATTTCAATTTCCATCTTAATTTTATATCAAACAAAGTCCTTCTGTGTGAAAACTTAAGGAAGCACAAATAACTTCCACAAGGTTTTATTTTGAACGAGAGATATATCCAAGTTGCATGTACCGCCAAAAGGGAATGATATGTGGGATCTGGATAAAACGGTTTTCGTTAACATTCACACTGGGTTTGAAAATATCGCGAGTTAGCTGAGTAAAAGTTTGCGGGTGATATATAAATTCATTACTGATCAGAATGGCTTGGAAAATAGCTTAAGTAATTCACTTTCGAGCTTCTTGAAGCACGTCGCGCCGCAATAAACATCTCATTGCGGAAATTTTGTTGATCTTATGAAATTGAAATATATCAGTTTTTATCTGGCCCAATGATGTCAAGAAAGGAACGATTGCAAACATTGAACTGTCATAGCAAATCCTACCTCGATTATGATCAGTTGTATTCCTTGAATGAGAAATTAATTTTTACCAGACGGCGCCGATTGCTTCGCAGTGCAAGTGCAGGAAGTATTTTTGACTGCGTTCAAGAATTGATCGGCGAAAGCAAGTGTTTTCAGCACATTTTCCAACACGATTACGTCAATGCTACGTCGCGTGTCTTAGGACTCATGACTTATTCATACTTGTCTCCTGGGGTAATCCCCTAAATATGACAAATTTTTAAGGGGTTTTTTCATTGTCTTTCTCAATATTTTTAAGTTCAATCATCACACGTGAAATTAGTCTTATTATAAAGCTTCCTGAAGCTAAAGGCGAAAAATGGGGGCTTGAGGTAAATTTTGAGATGGAACCAGTTGTCATCAGTCCAAACGATTCTGAAAAACATAACGAGATTATTGAACAAATCAATGATAAAATGTAATTCTTGGCAACCTAGGTAATAAGCAATTTTAAAATGTCAAACGATCAGACGATGACTCACAAACGGCCCTCCAGATGTCTGTAACACTCCATCATGACGTAGTTTGACCATACCACAAACTTGAGTATGACGTCGTGATATGCGCGACTGATCTCAAAGTTTCCTTGAAGCTAAACTCTATTCAGTGAGTTAAGTATGCAATGCTTGGGGATCATTGTTAAAAATATCATCTAATTTCTCAAGGTATTTGACTTTTCTCGAAATACTCAAAGTCAGCGAAGAATTTTAAATGTAAGTTGGAACAACATTTCGTTCAGTTTCTGCCCTACCTCAAGCTTTTTGAAAACGTTTCTCCCTACCAATTTCTGATATTGAATAATAGCTGAAATCAGCAATAAGAAAAAGTGCGTACAGTCTTCTGTTGCACTAAATCGATTTAAAAATGGCACAAAGAAACTTTTGTGCTCCAATCGCTAAGTCTTACTGGGATCAAATTTAACACAAGTTTATTTCATTTGAGAATTTTCAATTTCATACAAAATGATGATGCTAGTAAATATTGGACAAAGCTAACATTCGAAACAGTTATCCAGATGCAATTTAATTGCGTGGCATACGAGACTGTCACCCCATCGCGTTACTTTGGCTTAATCACCCTCTACTTCGATCAGCTGCCCCTTCAACCTCATGTTAAGTGGCTTTAATCGATCTTAGCTCAAAGCGGAAAAGATTTGGTGTGTAAAACATCTGAAATAAAAATTAAGAGCATTTCGTAACAAATCATATTTATTCAACCTTGAAATAATTAAGGACCGACGGTCCACCGCAATCAGTCTTGATCTTCGAGGTATGCGGGAAGTCGATGGAAGCCTTTCGAAAAAAAGGTAAGAAAAATTAGCAAATAATGCAAATAGCGGTTGATTGTCAGTGAGAACCACAAAATAAGTAATTTGCTCTAAAACTGAAGTGGCAATACAACTCAACTAAAAGATCAGACAACCAGCTCAGTCTTCTGGACGAAAAAATTATTTTTTGGCACAAAGTTTATCACTCTCCTCCTCCTCAGTTTTCTGATTGTGAAATTAAAGCCACAAACCTACTTTTTTTTGTTGAGATACCCCTACTTCCGGCAGTATGCAGTGCGTTTTCCTTTCTTCTTTTGTTAAGATAAATTTTCCCTCTCCATATTTACTTCACGCTACTGATGGATTTTCATTCTCCACGCTTAACTTTGTAGGTATATTTCACAGACCCCCGGTCCATGGACTCCCTCGATGCACCTGGTCCATGAACTGAATGGACTACGGATAAACTACCCTGGGTAGAATACCTTTAAAAAGGAGAAGCACTTGAAGAGGTCAACTACAAATTGTCCTGCTGAAAAACCAAGCCGCGTGGAACTCTCTCTTGAAACATGTTTATTGTTACGGGAAAATCTACTGATTTTCCCGTGTGTGTTATTCGGAACATATTTATTCGTAAATTTTCACATTTAACCATTTCAAGTCCTTTCATTTTAATAAATCAAAAAATGTATAAAAACCACAGTAGCTTTTAGAGTAGATTTTGCTTGTTACTCGCTTTCATTATGCGCCTGCATGGCGGCATTTTTGTTATTTATTACATGTTTTTTTAGGTAAATATAAGTGTTAATGGTCTTTCTGGAAAAATTGGTTTTCATGGTAGTTAGCAGCTGAGTTTATACTCGTAACTTCAACTTCTTTTCATAAGATAGTTTCCACACCAACCTTGCACAGATAAGCAGGAACTTTTAATGGCTTTTCCGTTTTTATTTCCTAAGTTGCGCTGCTGCAATTAAGATAGGTATTGTTTTCTATACCAGAGCTGTGAATTCCTGCCATATTCCTGTCACACCGTTCCGTTAGCAGCTATTCCACATTTTTAATATTTCCTTACTTATATATGTGCTTGTGGATTACCCCAAGAACCCATTTAGTGTTAATAATGATTATTTAAAAGTAAAAAAATTTTACAGTGTGTTTAGATTTGACATTGTAGACCTGATGTTATCATAATTAGGCTAGCAGCTGTAGTTTCAGATAAATTGAATAGTACATGATTAATACATATGTCTTGTACTTCAAATTTCTTTTTGTGTGCGAGTTAGGTTGTAGTGAGGCTGTAAATTATGAATGCTTAACTAATTAAACCTTTTTGTGCTCATTTTAAAAACCACTTATAAGAATTTCAAATAGACGACAACAGAACTGCTCTTTTAAATCGACTATTTATTTTACCTATTTATCAACGTGAGACAAACAAATTAGGTCCCCGTACTTTTTACCGTTTCCACGAAAATTTTTGAATATACATGTATTCCAGTTAAAATCCCTTTTCTCTCAACATTTTAAATTTATTTGATAAAGGTTTGCGTTTGTCAACTTTAATGTATTACATACTTGTGTACTTCAGCTGTCAAATTACCCTCTTATTTAATCTATAATCCTTTGCACACTGAAAATCAATCATGTTGTACAATAAATTTGTATCCGTACTAAAAAACTAACCTTGGCTGTATAAATTACTAGCTAGTTACATGTATTACCAAGTTACTCACTACAAGGGTTGCAATGGGGTAACCGTTGGCTGTAAAACGGCCAAAACAGTGAGCCGTTAGGTGTAAAAATTGACAAGTCATATGCCCCATTCACACCAAAGCTTAAACATGTTTAAAAGTTGTTTTGTTAAACACGGTTTAATTTTTTTTTCTTCATAGAAACTATTTAACCGAATATTTTTGACTTGAATGTAGCACATTGGAAATGCAAGTTAGCAAGTACTTGAATCCAATGGAAAATCAAGTTTTTCAGTTCTCTGTTTATAATTTTCATTCAATGAAAACCAGTTTAACAAAACATGTTTTGCTGGTGTGAATGGGGTAATAAATAAGGTTACGGTGAGGAAAGAATTTTGGAAATTAATTTGAATGGTACAATTCTAAAAAACTACCCATTCTAAAACTGTGATATTAAAGGGAAGTCACTTTTTACATTGCTTTCTCTTTGAATAATAGTAGCTCCCCTAGAACAGAAATCTTGTCTTTCTCGCCGTAGCCAGTGTGACCAATGCACAAAAGGGAGAGGCTGGACAAGGTTTAGCGGCACTGTCTACAATCAGTTATTATCCACTAGAACTTTGTTGTCTTGAAATAGCCTCTATTTCTATACTATAGAAGCAAGTGTCACCGCTTCCGAATATTCAGTTCTGTTTAGAACATATTAAACAGTGGAAAGGGCGACTGGCTGTGCGAAAATAGCTTATATGCATCAAGTGTTCAGGTTTTACGGTGTTTTCCTAGCAGGTTAAGGTAAGTCTGAGTGTCTCATAAATAGTTTAGGCTTCGTTAGACCAAGATGAGGCTTCTTTACATACTTGAAAGCGAAGCAAGACAAATGAAAAAGAAAAAGCTAAGTTTTAAAGCTACAGACTACTTCGTCATGAGTGTTGTCAGCAATCTAAACAAATCGTTGCTTCCTGAAATTTAAAATCCCCTGCCAGTTTTTATTATTCCAGGCAAGATAAAAAAAAATGACTTAAAGAGCGAAAAATGGAGTAATATGAGAGGAAAACGTTTTGCCACAGTGAGCAGTAGCAAGAAAAAAAAAGAAAAAGAAAATAATGGCCTCTCGAGAATGACATGGTTTTTCACTGACTGTCAAAGTCCTTGGGCTTGAAATGTTTATTCAAGTTCTTCATTAACAACTTCCATCCGGTTGTTTTCTTTAGTTCTTCTATGCTGATTCCTTCTTCACCGGAGTCTGATTCCTTCGGAAAAAAACAAAGAATGCTGATGAACTTACTAACATACAGCAATTGCGCTGATAATTGTTGGAAGTATTTCTCGTATGTATCTTTTCTTGTATAGGTGTATAGTTGACGATTTCTTCATTTCCTTTCCTAAAACTCAACACAACTTAGAAACTCGGGGTCTAGCTCTGCTCTCTAAAGGAAAGTGTTGGTTACCAGCTTATAAAGGTGATAGTTATCAGGCTGTCAATCTTTGACCAACGTCACCATATCGCACCTCATGATCACTAACGAATCATGCTAAGCTACATGAAACAGATCCCCCTTTGACCAACGTCACCATATCGCACCTCATGATCACTAACGAATCATGCTAAGCTACATGAAACAGATCCCGCGTACTAAGTGTGTACCTTTAGGATGTTGACTCTTTTCAAAACGACTTTCTACCTAAAATTTCACACACTTGCAGTTAAGATCGGGCAAAAAAAAACAAAAGCTGCACCCAAGCTACCGCCTTCAAAAGAGGTACCTGCTGGTTATCTAAGTTAACTGATTGTAAATTCAGTGGGAGGATGAAAAGTACAAGTTGTTTACACCCTTAGTCGCCTTCAAGAAAGAGGTGTTTAAAGTGCCAAATAAAAATTCATAATTAGTTACTCTACTAACGAAGTAAAACCGCCAAAGAAATAGGAAATGATCAAATGGCTAATAATATTTATTTATTGAATGGTTTGCGATTAAAAAATTTGGGACACTGCCTAAGAAATAGGAAATGATCAACTAGCTTATAGTATTTTTTTACTGAGTGGTTTGTGCCTATATAATATTTCCATTCATTTTCCAACACTCAAATAAGTTAAAAACACATATACAGATACTGCTTGAATTTACATTCCTTAATTACCTCAGAACTGGTAATGATCGAGATTTTTCCAGTTACACAAATCACCCATCCCAGAAAGAGATTTTCGTTAATTACAATCAAAAATCGTATTTCAAAGATCCAGCAGCTTTGCTTATGTCTTAAGAGGCGGCGTTACATAGTGCCTGTGGGGCTTCCTAACCAATTTTTCTCACAGGAGCCAAGAAACATCAATACAAAACCAGACAGTCATAATATTCAAGATGCGTATGAACATTATTCGATGGAGCTCAAAACACAATGATAAATAAATAGAATACACGTAATTATATATTCTTTGCGTTCAAAATTTTCAAGTTTTCCTTTCACCACCTTCTCAATTAATTTTTCATGTTTGGTTGCAAATATTCCTTTTTCTTTGTACATCTGGTCATTTCACTTTACGATTAAGATCGGACATAACATTTTTAGATTAATTTTACAGAAATGTATTAGCAATTTTAAGTTTTGGAATGCACAGGAAGAAAAGAATGGAAATATCAAAACTAATAAAGAACTGGTGCGTGAACAGAAAGGTCTGATTGTATTATTTCAATAAAGTTTTGCCGTTGTTCAACAAAATTGGGTCTTAAGCAATCCTCAATTTAACTGAACCTTTCATCGGAATGTGTTTTTGTGAACATCGTTAATAGGGCCGAAAGATGACAGTGGGAGGACATTTATCTAATTAAATCAAACCTCTTATGGAGAAACCCCGAGACTCACTAATTGCGTGAAACCACAGTTTGGGTTACAACTCGTGTAAATAGCCGGCCCGCCTTTGATTGAACATGTACCAATACTTCAAAAAAATTTACCCTGCGAAAATAGGTTTGATACAACATTCTAAGAGTAAATTTTTGACCCAATCGTACAGGAAAATTAGAATATTTTTTAATTAATCGCTAGTATTTAGCTGAATGATGGATGTGATTAAAAAAAATAACAAAAAATAACAAGCAAAATCGTACATCTTATCTTATCTTATCTTAAAAAAGAAAAAGCACATTGTTAAATTACATTTTTCCGAGACTGTTTTTACACTAATACCCCTCTATCTTCCATCAGAAATTATAAAGACTGTTTTTTGAAACTTGCATCAGAGTCATCGGTAGCAACTGCTGCATCTCGTTCCTTTTTTTTCCCATCATTTTCAAGCAGCTCACCCTCAATATGGAATAGAAACTACATGTTGATCATGGCGAATCAGCTACACAACTGCTATCTAAATAATCATACTACAGCCTGCTTGCAGACGATCATGTGAATGAACTCCATTTTTGGTATTTTTGTTCACTGCATAATGTCAATATCGAACTGTGAATATGAAGTGATCCGGGCTTACCATTCTCGGCAGACGAATTCCAGAAAAGTGTTAATATTTCAACTTTGGGGGAAATTCTTTGTCTAAGACAACTCATACGCAACCAGGACTTCGAACTGAAGTTCAAAGTCTCAAAACAAATTCAAATAATCAGAGAATCAAATATCTGTCATATAAAAAAGAAAAAGCACATTGTCAACTACATTTCTCCAAGACTGTTTTATACCATTACCCCTCTATCTTCCATCAGAAATTATAAAGGCTGTTTTGTGAAACTTACCTCAGAGTCATCGGTAGCAACTGCTGCATCTCGTTTCTTTTTTTTACCATCATTTTCTGGCAGCTTACCCTCGATATGGAATGGAAATTACATGTACATGAATCGAGAACAATCATCCGCGATATTGTACAATTATTTGGATAGTGGGTTACTTTATACTGTAATCCGACACGAGCGTAACGTCACTTGTTGTTTTACAGTACAACTCGAAAAATACTCAGCATGATATGGTAAAATATTCATATTCATATCGGATTCCGACTATTTTATGCAAGCAAGTCTTGAACATAACAATTGCAAAGATAGTCTTGTTCAGAAAGCAATATTTAACAACATCACGTTAAAATGAGATTGATGTGACAGTATACTCTACATCTGCCATAACAGATATAATTCGCTTTTGCTATGGAAAATTGGGAAGCCTAAAATTAACAATTGGTTCGTATGTCAGCGTGCGTTCATCGAGATATGAAGCACGTGGGAAGTTTGGAGAGCACGAGAGATACGTCAGAGTTGCACGAGGTGTAGCCGAGAGCAACTCTAACTTCTTTAGTGCTCTCCAAACTTCCCAAGTGCTTCATATCTCGATGAACGCTCAGCTGACTGTTTTATAACATTTTCAACCCGATGGTTTGCTGATTTGATTTGTTTGCTGACGTCATGAGCGTGCACAATAGGAATATGAAGCACGCTCACGCAATTGAATTTGATTAGACAAATTTACCAGCTATGTTATAATAAAAATTATTTGTCGAATAGGTTTGCTCATGTTTTGTAAACTGGCGTGTCCCTGTGTGATGAAAGTGATATCGCGTTACTAGTTATATCAATAATGGAGCTACTTTTTAAGTTTTTCTGTGGTTAATAAAATTATTACAGCGGTTAAAAATATCGACCTCCCCTTCACCAGCTAATTTCTCCAGTGACAAATTATGGAGAATTATGAAACCTATCATCATTTTGGTTATTACCTCGTTGCTGAATGCTGATGAAAAAGATCTTTTACTGAAGTCACGTGGCGCGTTTTCCTGAAAATTCTCTTCACGGAATGCCAGTTCCCTTGGAGAGGAAGGAGGATAGTCGAACTCGTAAGCAGCCGTCATGATAAAGCATTAAAAATTTCCCTCTGTTTGCTGAAATGATACCAATACTGCATGCTAGGGGGTAAGCAGCATGATAAACTCCCGCGGTGTCAGTAATTGCATCGCTGTTGGATGTCAAATGATGAATACAAATTAAAGTGACGGGAACTGAGGTCTTTTCCGCGAAATCTATTTTCCTGATATACCTTTTCGAATTTATTCTCTTATTTATTTTTTCAATTTTTTTCTTAGCTATTGTTGCAACTTTATTGAAAGGAAATTTCAGGGTGGAGAAATTTATTATTCGAAATATAGCCCAAATTGTTTATATTCATGTTATACTAAGACACTGCTGAAGCTAATTTTCACATTTCTGGATAAGTGAAAATATTCTAGACTACCTTTTCATTGTATTTAGATATATAAAGTGTCCTGCTGATTCCCTAACCAAGAGTGTTTTGGAGTTTTTAAAACAAGGAAAAGAAAGGTTTTTATTGTTTTCCAACATGTTTTTGTTTCGTATACCAGACTATATGTATATTCTTTCAACGAGGGTAGGGTTATGAGAGTTAGAAACGCAGCTTTCAGAACAAGCGTTCCACGCGAAGTCAACCGTTCCAATCAAAATCACAGTCGCTACGTCTACGTTTCCTTTTAGGCCGTCACACAATACTTCCATTTTGAATACAGTGTAGACCTCTCTTCGGCCTATTCTCTCTCTATGTCGAAGGAGCGCGAGCCCTTATACTTACACGAAATAGCGAAACGAAGTCGAAATTTGAGCAAAAAGATGGGGAAATATGTGCTTGAAGTATACGACGTTCTTGAAGTAATTGTTAAGGAGTACATGGAGAGGAAAAGAAATGATCAAACAGGAAACCCTTCGCTGATTTCGATACTGATAGAACATTTTACAGCCATTTTCTGGAGCCTAAAACTGCACTTGAAGTTCCATCGTGATGCTACTGCAACATCAGAAGATGATGCCGAAGCAGATAAGAAGCTCAAGGACATGGCCAGATGGGAATTAGTCTGCTTGACTACCGATGACATGAATGAAGACCCAGACGAAAAGAATATTATTGACCCTGGGAGTAAAATCTTGGAAATCGTAAGTAGACATATCAGAGAGCTCTTCAATATTCATGCTGAGGACTCATAATCTACGAAGGGTGGGTTAATATTCAAATTCATATTCATCTATTCTGTGAAAAACTTTTTTTCTTCATTAAAATAAAAAGATTCCTATGAATTACACATCGTTACAGTCGTAAAAGCTCTGTAAGCTGGCATCAAGAGTTTTTCCCCGTGGCAATGGGGGGTGGGGGACAGACTGAAAAAAAAATAATCTCCGTCGCGCTGTCTTCTTTTATGGTATACACAACTAGATTCTACTGAACGCGTACTCTCACTCTGTGATAACTCTTGCCCGATGGTTTCACCAGAATTTGGACTGAATTGGATGGGTGTGTTACACTGCTTTAGCTAAGCGAACCCTGCGTTGTTAGCGCGAGGTTTAAGATAGCAAAGGCTCGATATATCAGGAGACGACTAGACATCCATTAACAGCCACGAAAAGCGATCCAATCTTAAGTCATCTTTTGATGTGCTCACAACGAATTAAAAACATAACGTTAATTATCACTTTGGACCAAGTGCAACTCTCACAATGGCTACACTGGTTTATTTTCTATAAAGTACTTAGATGGAGTTGAATAACGATGCTTTGGCATTGATTAGTCGTTCGAAGCTCCGAAAAAACATTACAAGTGGACAAATTTCATCTGAGCTGAGCTAAGTTTTGAATATCTTTTAGGTCAGTGTCATAACACGCAGTAAAGACCTTCCAGAAGGCAGTAAAGCCCATGCCAATGAAGTAATGGCACAAGTAACGGCTCTTTTTCGTAGCTTTAATTCGCTCAACGTATTTAAACCGGAGGCTTTAGCAGTGGTTTCACATAACAACAAGAGCTTCGTTGGCGCGTCGATAGCAGTAAGTAATTTCCTACGGCCTCTCTATTTGCACAAAAGAATTGCTGATTTCAAAAACCCGCGTCTCAGAGAGGCAATCATTTTCCATCAGCCTTTAAATACAAAAGATACGCAAGATTGGACATCGGAAGCAATAAATATCATGGGCGCCTACAAACCTGCATGTACAAATTGCCGAAGAACTTTTGAAAGGTTAAATGGCTTCGTACCTGAGACAGAGCCGGTAGATGGCAAAAATCGCACATTCCTCGGGGTATGTGCCGAGTTCTGTCCTGTTGACAAACTTCTTCACGATGAGACAAATGCAAGTGATGTTCAAGAAATAGGTAATCGTCTTCAGAGGAATTTAGAGCGATGTTTAACATACTTTACGAAATTTAATGCAATTAGTAAACAGTGCCAAGATGCTGAGGATTCTAAAGACATCCAAAAAATAAGAGAGGTATACACCCAAATGCATCCTACAGTTCACATTTTTGGTCGAATACCAGACTGTAACGACAGGTTTTAGGATTTGGCTCTGATACAAATGGTCAGTAGATACTGTAACCTCTAAAAGTATCTTTTTGCAAACAACTACTACCTGCAATATAGCGCAGGTGAAAACAAACATTAGACTAGGCCTAAGTTTTGGATGGTTCCAGGTTTGCTGTGGAAGGTACGCTCTTACTTAGAGAATACTGCAAATGTTTTATCTAGAATTTCTCCACCCTTAACTACTAGGGTAGTAAAGGGTGGAGAGGACTTAAAACGTTTTTAAAACAATTTCATTCTCGCTCGCCGGTCCTCAAAATCGGTATTAATCACTTTTTGGTATCACACTGGTATCACACCGGAATAAAAAGGGTTTCACTAAATCTTTAAAACAACCTTGAAAAAGTCCGATAAATTCGCCTTTTTCTACACGAGGAACACGAGGAAAAAAGTATTAATGCTATCATCGACAATCCAAAAAGTTTCAGTTATCTGAAAGTTCATGGTTCAAAGAGGAAAGCATTTCCTTTTCACATTTCCGACAGTTCAGACCAGCCTTAAATTGTACGCAACGGGTACCTGTAATGATTATCGTATGAAGTAGAAATAAAACATTTTATACGTTTACTTCTGCCAACGGAAACATTTTTTGGTATTTTTAGTGTGAAAATGTTTTATTCAATTTTTCAAAAAGTGCATTACATTACGAACATGCGAACGGATCCCATGCTTTTTTTCTTAATATGTCATTTTCCCTTATTTGAACTGTAAAGAATACCTCCCTGGTCAAGGGATGTATGCACTTTCAGCAAACAGATCTTATATAGCGACATTGCCTATTTTAGGCAGCGACATGTATCGCTGAACTTTCGCAAGTCATTTTTGCAATTTAAATTTTGAGCTGAGTATGTGGTTTGCGACTTCTTACAGCTTTGAGCAAGATTCCACCTTCCTTTAACAAATAAAGAAGCCTTGACTGTGCTCTGTTCTTTTATAAGGCTTCTCTATTGGTGTTATAATAAAGAATCCATTAAATCCCCCATGCGCATCACTTTCATTTTTCAAAACAAGCTTTATTACTATTTCCAAAGCGAACAACGCTGTCGTCAGCATACTCTATATTCTCATAAAGCATGCTACCAGAAGCCAATCATAATTCATGTTATGGAGTAATTCAAATGATCCGATTGGTTGATTGCACTTTTATATCTTTTTACGTGTATCTCAAGGACATCTGTTTTCTCAATTTCTTGAATTTCGCTTGCCTACTCCTCGATAATAGTAATTTTCTGGCTAAATGATTTCGAAGTGTAAAATACGAGTAAGGCCTTCAGCCCCTTCAACGAGCTGTTTTTTCCACCCTTAAAATAATTCAGTGAAATGCGAACAAGAACACAAGGATCAGTAAAATGGAATAAACTGCTCTTTATAACTCATAAAATTTGAGAATAGTTTCACTTCATCATGTCATAACACGCATAGAATATATAATCAACGTGCTCAAGAATGCTTCGCTTCTTATTTCCAAAATGTCATCGTAACTGTCTCTTTGTCAATGCCTTCTCCCCCAAAATCGTGTTTCTGGTAGGATTCCATATCAATTTTGCATATTTTCCATACTATATAAATCACATCATAGGTCCTGCTGGCGACAAACTTAGGTCTGTGGCTGCATTAAAGGAGACTTTCATTTCTGATGTTCATGCCATTTTTTACTGGTGATCGAGTTTACTCTATAGTATATGAATATCAAATCATGATATATGTGGAAAAATATCTTGTTAAATTGCAGTTAATTTACGTTCATTGAGAAGCTGGTTAGCCTTATTTCTTATTTAGCAGAATTTGGTTCGACTCTCTCTACTGTATTTTGTTTTGAAAGTAGTATCAGCGCGTGCGCTTGTTATGGCTGTGAGTTAAGAGAGATATTTATTTACAATGTAAGAACTTCACAATCACGGAGAACATTTTTGCATATACAATGTACTGAGAAATGCGATACAAATTATCGACGAAAAAGGTTTTTAATGTGTTTTAAATGTGTTTTCTGTTTTTTTTTCCTTTTTCTTTCCTTTTTTTAAATTACCGCCTATTTACACCTCGTTAAAATTAGTGAGCGTATAAAAGGACCTCTTGTTGAAGGGTTTAGATCACTCCTGATTAATGCACTAGACAGGAGTGTCGAAACGTTGGGTCTATGAATTGTAACTTCTCACTTACAGTCACGAAAGAACAACGAACTGACGCTATTTATTCTATTCCGTCCAATGACTGTGATCACGAGTGTATCGGACAGACCAAACGTCAGTTTGATACACGTTTGAAAGAGCATCAAAAAGCGGTCTTCTTTTGCAAAAAAGAAAATTCAGCTTTATCGGAGCACACATGCCTAACCAGAACATCAAACCATGTCTGATTGTCCACCTGGTTGCCATGTGAACCTTTATATATTTTGATTCCTTCTTTTTTATCACTGACGTCTTAATACTAACGAACTAGACGTAATATTTTAGAGTATCTACTTAGCTAAAGAGAGCTCTTCTTCCTGGGAGATTCTATTCATACACACTGGTAGTTTAACGTGCTCAGACTTTTCCCGAGCCACAGGTGCTCTCTCCTCATAATCCAGTAAGTCATCGCATGAAGTTGCCGCTCTTCTAGCTTATTTGAGTCCAGATAATGCACAGCCTATTGTCGTGCCTAATTTAGGCATCTATAATGTTTTTCTATTTCGGCGTATTTCTCTCAGAATCCTTGGCAAACCTAGTGGAAACTGTTTTAAACTTTTCAAAACAAGTCCATTGTGTCCTTTTATAAAATCATGCTAGTTTTGGAAGAATTTTTTTCTTCGGAAGGATTTTAGAAGCTAACTGCAAGTCTTGATGACAGACCAGACAAGTCATCACCAGGATTCTTTTCTCTGGAACGATTTTTGTCGATATCGTAGCAGTACAGTCATCGGTAAGCTTCTTGAGTTCTTAATTCGAATTTTCTGTATGCCAGTATGAGCTGAATAATGTGAACATTCTAGTCATCATTTATATGTATGTCAGCACAGCTAGGAATAACTGTTGGTTTCCTGCAACAGGAAACCGTCAGCTATAGAAGAGTTTCTTGAAGGGGATTTAGGGACCAGTCTGGGGGATGGAGAATAGGGGTGAGGGGGAGAATTGAAGAGGTCTGGAACCTGAAGACGATGTTCTCACAACTTGCAAAGCGATCAACACGCATGCAAGTCAGCGGTATCTTCAAACAGCTGAGGACCCTCGTTATTGCTCCTGATGCTTTGAGCAAATTTTAAAAGATTGGGAATGTTTTCATTTTCAGATGCAGTGTATGGTGTCAATATTAGTTGAAATTATATTCTATTGCGCTTGACTGATAATTATGGTTTGGGTAAATAAGCCAAAATCGAAAGAAACGACGGGAAAGTACTTCGCGTTAAGACATCACCGGTCGATTGAAGAGTGTACACGTGAGAACAGTGAGTCAGTAAAACAATACACCAAAATCGTATTGGCTTCTCTAAGATCTTCTCTTGAAGTTGCCAGGTATGACTGCCTGCCCCAAAATTTTTTCCTTAACGTATCAACCACCTCTGATAAGCGTGAAAATTAAAAGAAAAGTCATTTCCAATACGTGTTTGAACAAGTCGTGGTTTTTTTTTCTTTCTCTTTTTCTTCATGATTGTTCTCTGCACTGAGATACACGGCGTCTTTCTGAGATCTTTGGGTAATTTAATTCGGTAACCTCTGCTGTAACTGCATATAATGTGGGTGTCTTTAAGTCCTCAAACTAGCTTGATTCCTTTACATTATATCTGACGTTGACACCGTTTTACCAAAGGTTCATAAATCTTGTTTATTTCATATATTAATTCTAGCTGTTACCAATACCTGCTATTTCTTAGCATGACATGACATGTCTGCATTTTCAAATTACAGTCCTATAATTTCAATCCCCCTTTGACAAGTGACTTAAAAATATTTTTTAAATATTATAGCCTACAAGATCTAAAATGTGCCTCATTAAACAGTAGTTTTCCATCCTCCTGACAGCGACAGCAATATCAAGTCCAATTCTTAGTCTTTATGAGTAGGCTGTGTAAAAATCTCTTATATCTAGTATATAACATAAGTGGAAATAAAAATTAAGTAACTATAAAAATAGTATTTGATGAAAAGTTTTATGCAGATATAGTCAGACTCAGTGCTAAGGGTTTGCTTTAGGATCCAAAATAAATCAATAACTGATGATGAATAAGATGTCATGAAATATCTTTAGAATCAAAAGTATTTTTTGAACAGTACATTCTCTTTCAATTCACTTCACATGAATATTGGGAAGCAACACATTATCAAGAGTAGGTTATTTTAAAATAGTACACTGAGTTGTTAAAGGCCAGTTCTGATGACTAGCTTGCTTGCTGGGCTAGCTTTGCTTTTAATGCTCATATACGATTCTGAAGTACTAAAGAAAAAACATTTGTGGGCATTTAACCCCATAAATATAATTGTTATAGTCACAACGAGCAGTTAATGAGACAGTCCTTATTAGGATTACCCTCACCGTGACGAACAGTCAGTTCACAGGATCGGATAGAAGAAAATAACTTCAGTATGCTCCAAAAAGGTAGAGGATAAAAAGGGTCATAACCTATTATTAGTTGTATTCTTCCACTCAGTCCCATATTATCTGATGTGTACATGGTTTGCAATTGGTGTTTAAGCCTGTTTTTCCGTAACCATTGCATCAAGATTGATACTCAAGAAAAGATCAAGCCATTTCATTCAGATATCCCTTACGGAGACCTTGATTATTCTGGATATCATAAAAACTGAAACTAGTAATTGTTTGACATAGTTTGATGCTACACTGGTTTGCAGATTTAATGAATGTAACCGAAGAAGTTACAATTCATAGACCCAACGTTTCGACACTCCTGTCTAGTGCCTTCATCAGGGGTGATCTAAACGCTGCAACAAGAAGTCCTTTTATATGATCACTAATTAGCGGCCTTTTTTCTGACGAGGTGTAAATAGGCGTCAGGAAGCAGACCGCCATCGTCACGATTTAAAGGAGCGTGGGCGGAGTTAATGTGCCAAGCCTCCAAACGCCGATTAGTGGTGATAATTTTAGAATTATCCCACCCAATTGTATGGTTGGTTAGGCAAGTATGCTCCGATAAAGCTGAATTTTCCTTTTTGCAAAGAAAAACCGCTTTTTGGTGCTCTTTTAAACGTGTACCAGCGTTTGGTCTGTCCGCTGTATTCGTTGTCACAGTCATTGCAAGGAATAGAATAAATGGCGTCGGTTCGTTGTTCTTTCGTGACAGGATCCTTAGGTTTGGCGAAAATATGCCCCAAAGTCTAAAAAGGTTTTTGAGCAACTTTAACGTTATGGCTATTCAAAATTCTCTTGATGGGTTCAGTAACACCCTGTATGTAAGGAATAACAGCAAAACCAGTCGCCGGTTCCCTTTCATCAAGAGCGTTACTATTTGTAACTGGTTTTTGGCAGTTACGGAGAAAAGTTTTTGTATAGACATTTGCCTTTAGGACATTGGAAACATATTTCCTCTCCTCAGCCTTCGAATCGAGTGATGATGGTAGACAGTCAGCCCTCCTAAGTAGAGTTTTGGCTACAGACTTTTTATGGCAAATAGGGTGGTGAGAATCGAAAGCGAGGTATTTGTCGGTGTGGGTGGGTTTACGGTATACACTTGTCTCTAAATTACCCTGAACCCCTCTGGACACATTTAAATCAAGAAAGGGCAAATGTCTATCCTTTTCACGTTCAAGGGTGAATTGGATCGACGGCTCTACTGAATTCAAATGCGACAAGAGGCGCTCCGCTTCATTTCCGGATACCGCAGAAATAACACCATCGACATATCGTTTCCAGAAAAAGGGTTTAACCGGTGAATTGAACTGAAGGCACTAGACAGGAGTGTCGAAACGTTGTGTCTATGAATTGTAACTTCTTCGGTTACATTCATTAAATCTGAAAACCAGTGTAGCATCAAACTATGTCTGATTGTCCACCTGGTTGCCGTGTGAACTTTAATATATAGTAACTGTTTGTTTGTTTTATTTTATATTGAACGAAAAAAATGGTCACGACAGTAAGTGAAACCGATCATTTATTTCTAAACTTGTAAAAATATACAGGTCAGAAAGCAACACAAAGCGCGCGAACTTGTCATGATTACCCTTAGATATCATGAACAGCGGTCATACATGATATTATTACCCGTGACCTTGAGTGCCCTTGATAATTGTATAATCTGCAGCTAGATGACGTCCCTGGCGCTGATTTCGAAAGTTCACTGTACGCTTTCGGCCAATCAGAGAAGAGTGATTTGAATATATTACAATATCTCTCACTGATCAACATCAACCTTCCTCGTCATTAAATACTTTTAAGATCTGGTTATTTACAATTTTCTCTAAGGGGAAAATATGTTGATAAAATGAAATTACGTAGTAAAATTTCAACAATACACCATTAAGACTCTTCTTTAAATTTGGATGACAGACCATGGTCCTGAAGCATTCATGATTCAACAGTCAATAATGACCTGGAGTTTCATTTCAGTTTGATAGTACATGATAAATACACACGTTATGTTATTTAAGTCTCTCTTTGTGGGCAAGTTATATGTTGGTTGCTGTGAGAATGCAAAAGATGAAAGCTTGACGTAGTAGGACCTTTTGTGTTCATATTCAAAACCCCTTGTAAGACTTTCATGTTGATAGCAACATAACAAATATTTTGAATCAACTATTTATTTTATTCAACATTCATCAACATGAAACAAATAGAGTTAAACCTTCATTCTGGTAAGGAGAAGACGGTACGAGTTCGGGATTCACGAGACATTTATTCAGGCCATACACAATTACAACTCCGAGCATTGCGCAACGGGCGAGCACGTGCTCTACTGTCATGCAACTTGTCACATCTTCCCTATTTTAACAGTAACGCTGACTACAATACTTATAATGATGCAAAAAAACTAAACAATAGACAATTGTGAATTGTAGCAAGCTAATGTTCAAAAATATGGTTAGCAACGTCCAGGTAAATTTGGTATGTAGTCTTTGAGCCACTCGGGAGGTTTTATCTTACGCAGAGGTCTTGTTGGCTTTGAGGGCTCCGTTGGGAGGACAAACTGCCCAGGTTGCTGTTGTCTTCGCAGTCGGGCACCCTATACCAATCAGGCACTTGACTTTGTGGTTATTCCGTGCTGATTAACTGTCCGCGGTTTCGTCGGTAGGGTGACATGGCTCCTGGCCCAAACACGTGCCAGGGGTCCATGCGTCCTGTCCAGGTAGCTTCATCTGCACGGTATCGCCGGCAGCGATAGGCTCCAGGGGCTTCCTGTGCTTGTTATAGTAGAACTTCTGGCGTTGTTTGTTGCCGATCAACTTCGTGGTGTCCTCGTCGGTGGGGTAGCTAGGTTGCAGCAGATAAACAGCTACAGGAAGCAGCGTCTTGCATTGGTGTACCGCGCTAGTTAAGAAGTGCTTGGAATTCTGATCCCCGGACGTCTTGCATTTCTTAAACAACCGCTTGACTGTCTGGACAGCATTTTCTGCTTTCCCATTTGACTGCGCATAGGTGGATGATGATGTTTTGTGTTCAAACATCCACGTTTTGGCAAACACGCTAAACTCGGCTGATGCAAACTGCGGTCCATTGTCTGTTTTCAGGGCATTTGGGATGTCAAACCTGGCACAATATTTCTTTCAGCTCCTTGATGGTGGCTCGGAACGTCACTGTGTGGAGGCGAGCAAATTCGACGTAGTTATGGTAATCATCACTGACGACTAACAATGTTCTGCTGTCGAACTTACATAGATCAGCTAAAAACCTTGGCTCAAGGTCGTGGGAAGAATTCCTGGTGGAGGATAAGCTTCTTTCTTTGACCACTGTGGTGGGCCAGACATGCCTCACATTGGGAAATGTACTCTTTGAGCTCTACTGTCATACGTGGCCAGAAGAAGGTGTCTCTTGCTCGTCTGACACACCCCTCGATGTCGATGTGAGATGAGTGCGTATTTTCCATAAGCTCTTTCTTCAGGGCTCTAGGTACAACCACCTGTTAGCATTTAAAGATGAGTTCTTCTCGGACCGTTAACTCCTCTCGAATGTCAAAGTAGAGATGTACGCATTCAGGCACGTCTGCTTTGATGTCTGGCCAACCTCTCTTGATCACCTCTCGTGGAGTTTGCTGCACTGGGTCATCTGCTGCTGCGTTTTTGAGTCACTGCCAAGTCTCCTCTCTCACTGACATCCATGGCCTGTGGTCAATCTCCTCCAGCTCTCTGCTAAACTCGCACGCGTTGACTTCGAGTAAGAAGGCTCTGCTGAGGATATCTGCCAGATGGAGATCTTTGCCTTTCTTCCAATTGTATTTCACGCTTAGGCTGTATCTTTACAGGCTTAGAAACATTCGTTGTAGGCATTTCGGGGCAGTCGCCAACGGTTTAGTGAAGATAGGCTCCAGTGGTTTGTGGTCTGTTTCGATGTGGACTAAATCGCGGCCGTACACGTATGCGTGAAAACGGTCACACGCAAAGACAATCGCTGAAAGCGTCTTCTCGATCTGTGCGTAGCGCGTCTCTGCTTGTGTGAGTGCACGTGAGGCATAGACTGGAGTGACTGTGACGGTATCTTTAAGCCTTTTGAATGCTTCTTGATGTGCTTCCTCCCAGTTGAACTGAACGTCGTTCAGTGTCAGGTCTCTAGGTGGCTTCGTGATTTCTGACAGTTGGGACAGGAACTTCGTTAGTATTTCTTCACGTGTTAGTATTGATCTACGGTTGGAATCAACGTTGTACACTGCGGCCCCTTCCGTCTGTGGTTTATGTGGCTGATCATTATCGTTGTACTGGATAATTTTCATACCGAGGCATGCTTTCCGCTCCAGGATTGGGAAAATTTCGCGACTTTCAATTAGGCGACAGCCCAACAAGGACGACACCTTATTTCTCCACACCCTTATGGTAACGTGTCCGATAACTTTAATCTTTGATTCTCCGTACAGCATGAGAGCAATATGCACGGATATCACTTTCTCTAAATTGTGGTCGTTAGAAGCACGCATGTAGACGAGCAATGGTAACACATTGCACTGTGCCCCTGTGTCGGGTTGGAAACGGATAAAGTTTACGGACTCCAACTGAAGTGTAACGAGCTGTGAATTATCCAAACGGACGGCTAATACTTCCTCCGTTTGATATGCCTCCTCAAAATACGTACTTCTACGGTAGCCTTGGCGTCCTGCTCGCATCTATTAGCGAAATGGTTTTTCATTCCGCACTTCCGGCAGTCCTCTCGACGCGCCGGACAGGATTCTAGATTTGCCAGATGTTGATATCCACAGTTGTCGTATTGTTTGCCTTGACCTAAAGCACGTTGTATTCGACGATGATTTCTTGTTTTCTTTGAACTTTCGCTCTCTGAGTTATTTACAATGTTAATGTCTGTCTATTAAAGGCCAATTTCCAACCTTGATGCAACGCGGTCGTTTGTTTTTGTTTTGAACCACTGCTTTTGTTTAAATAGCGCCTCTGATTGGTCAGTTATTTTTACTTTGTCACGTTGTCTCAAAATACCTCCTGCGTTCTCTTCGATGAATTTGAAGAGCTTGTCAAAATAATTTTGTTTAAAACAGTTCTATACGTTTTAATCGGGCATGGGATCAGATTAATCCATTGATTTTGTAGATTCCGAGGCAGTAAACGCTTAAGGATCGGTTGTTGCTAAAGAGGAACATGAAAATCCTTGCGAGCATTTCGAAGAAGGTGAAAATGTTGATCCACCACGTTTTCATCCATTCATCAAATTTGCCATCCTTGTTAAATAGGACCAAGGGTCAGTTGAAGTTTCCTGCCCGTGGAGAGGAGCTTGCGCTCGAAAGAGTGGTCGAGGTTGTTGTCCATGCAAAGCAGCAAACAAGAATTGTAAAGCAAACTGTCAGTGTCGCTGACGTTCCTGCTATGAAGTGACTAAACTTAAAATAATTTAACGTCCGGCAGTACGATATTTTTCCATATTTCTGTTCAAAATCCAAAAAAAAATTTATACGAAAATGTTCTACCCTTATTTAAAATCCTCAAGCGCTTCTAGGCAGCTTAAAATTTCGAACTTGATGTTTTTCGCAAACCCTGTACAGAGTACGAGGCTATCTAAACGCTTGACACTTACAAACTTTTCAATGACACGCTAGACACGGTCCTCAAATAACTCCATATTTCTCTTTGAAATATTCCAATTTTTCGTTGGAAAAATATTCTACCTTCATTTAGAATCCTCTAGCGCTTCTAGAAAATGAAAAAATTCCAACATTGTCTGTTTCGCTGACCTTCAGTACACAGAAGAATGCGAAGAGATCCAAGCGTGACACTAAGAAAATTTTCACCGGACACTACCGAACACGGTCTTCGAATAACTAAACGTCCGGCAGTCTGATATTTTTCTGTATTTCTCTTTGAAAAATACCAATTTCTATTGGAAATACTTTATTTTCATTTAGAATCCTCAAGAACTTCTTGAAAGTGAAAAAATTTGAACGTTGTCTTTTTCGTCGACTCTGTTCACACAGTACGAAGAGATCCAAGGGTGACACTTAGAAAGAAATTTTCTTCGGATTCTTCCGGACAAAATTCAAAACACTGTAAGGAAACTGTAAAATGACGAACGGCGAATGTATTTACCGTAAAACAGTTGACTATATGTACACGATGGCTCTTGAGAAAGATGATTTTAGAAGGTTTTCAGTGATCTGGGAATTTCGTGTTACAGGAAATTGGGTCGCGGCGCGCGTTGCATCAAGGTTGGAAATGGGCCTTTAAGTGTCCTTTGCTGATTTCATTTGGGCTGGCATACTTTCAGCCGGCCACTTACGAAACACTTACGAAAACTGATTTCATCAGTTTTCGTAAGTGTTAAACTTTACTCGCGTAGAGGCCTCTCTCTAGCCTTTGTGTCTCAGATTCCAAAGTTCAATCGATCCCTCAGTATTTCATCAGGAGTAATTTTGTCGAAATCACATCCCACCGCTGCCACTATGTAAGAAGAAAAAAATACGAGTTCGGGCTTCACGAGACGTTTATTTAGTGAGGCTCTATCAGGGGTTATCGGGATACGGGATATTTGGGTAAAAAAATAATAGAGATACAGGATATTTGGGCGGAAAATTAAAGGGATATGGGATATTTAACAAAAGATTCTGGGATATCGAAGATCGAAGTTCTCATTTTTTAAAAGAATAAAGTAAGTTTATTAGTCATTATAATAAAGTTCGGATATAACGCGTGCTGTCATTGGTAGAAAGAGCGTGCTCTACGAGTATAGAGCATGGAGCTGAGCTAAAGCTGTCACGCCATCTGCCAAATTGTACTATGTTTGACCTTTTCCGGAACTTCTCTCTGGCTCTTTTTCGTTAATTGAAAGTGAAATTTCGGAACAAGTGAGCCGGCAATTAGCAACAGAAGAACCAAACAAAGGTCTTTAAAAAAGGCCAGGCGCCGTAATTTACGCTATTATAACGTGAGCAGAGACGAAAATCCTCAAGGAGATAACGAAATGAACAGTGCGAGTTTTAGAGGTTTTCACGCTTAGGCAGATGGCAAGCCTATGTACGGTTATAAAAATCAAACATAGCTAACACTCGTATAGTAAGGAAAGTTTCGTGATCAGAAACAAAACAGAACAAAACAGGAATGATGAAAAATATAACCAAACTGGCATAACTGTTGAAATTCATACTAATCATGCCGGTGTCAGAGCGACTGCGATCACGCTGAGGTCCATCGCGGCTAGCTCAAAATGGCGATCTTCGGTCTTCACAATGAAGCAAGCCTCAGGAACTACTACGGCCGCCCTTCGAGTGAAAAAATAAGAGCTCGCTCTGATATCCTTTCCGATGCGTTGAGTGTCACGGGGCTGTCATCCCGAGCGATCTCTATGTTCCCGTGAATTCGGCTGTCGTTCATTAATAAACACCTCGCCTTGAACTGTTTGTTTTCTACTTATCATGTGAAAAACTTGCGTGTTTTTATGAGCCACAATTCTGCCCAGTTTCACTGAACATTTCACTTTCAGATTCTGTATTAGAGACTAAAAAAATTCAGGCAGAAGTGTTAAATTCGACCTGCCGAAATATTCAAGTTTTTAAACTTTTGCAGAATGGGAACTTTGATGGTTTGACATTTTTGACAGCTTTAGTCTTGTACAGCCAATCAGATTATTTGAACCATTCTAACAGGGATTCTGAGCATGATTGGCTTATTGTAGTGTGCTTTATGAGAGTATAGAACATGCTAAAGACACTGTTATTCGCTTTGGAAATAAAGTTTGTTTTGAAAATTGAAAGTAATGCTTGGGAGTTTGTTTGGGCAATTTAACGGATTCTTTATTATAAAACAAATAGAGAAGCCTTGACTGTGCTCTGTTCTGTTGTAAAGCACTTGGGAAGCGGCTAGAGCACGAAAGAAGTGTAGGGAGAAACACGAAGTGTAGCGATAAACTTCTCTATTTGTTTAGGGAGAAAAAAAAACTTTCTCAATTAGTGTAGGGAGAAACTCTCGACTACGTCTCATGTTCCTCCCTACACTTCTTTCGTGTTTTCGCTGCTTTTCCTGCGTGCTTTACAAAAGAACAGAGCACAGTCAAGGCTTCTTTATTTGTTAAATATGGAAGGCGCAAATAGTGAGAAAAAATACTTTCAAATACGATTGTTTACATTTTGGCATCAAATATTGTCAATATTGACAATAGGTGCCAAGATCGGCTCTTGTCCGAGAACAACTCTCCCCCTCCCCCACGGCTTTTTCCATTTCGCGCCACTTTCGCGCGTTGCGACCTTACACCTCTACTTTTGAATACGACCTTATCATATTTAAGGAAGAAGAATACCACTGTGATGTGGTTCCGTGCTTGGACTATGGAGATCCAGTGACTGCCAGGGAGACTGGGGAAGAATTGTCAAACAAGTTAGCAGAAATGGAAGATGAAGATATTCAGAGAGATACGAGGGGTTTAACCACAAGATCAGGAAGAAAGTCAAGGCGTCCAAGAGAATCATTGTTCTTATTTCACGACTAACTTGAAACACAAGAAACCTTCGGCAGCGGCATCCATTACTCTCCCCTGGATAGAATACAAGTCCACGACGTAAGCACTTCATCACGGTGCATCTACCCGGCTTGTATGCAGGTGAAATGGTTGTAGTGATTCACAATACAAACAGTGTCTTCTTGCAAAAAAAAAAAAAAGGCTAAACAACAGTTTACAGGATTTCCTATGACTGCGGTAAATTATACATCGGCAAGACAGGAAGACCCATGCAGGATTGAATTAAAGAGCATGATCGAGAAATCCGACTAGCCCGTAGCCAGACCTCCGCCGTTTCAGAATACGACCACAACACCTGATATATATAAGCCACTCTGGAACGAGGTTAAGTTTATCGATCGTGATCCTTATTACTACACACGTAGGATCAAAGAGGCAATTCACACAAGACTTCACTCTGATAACATTAATAGGGGCGGTGGAGTAGAAATTCTAGAAGCATGGATGCCCACTATCCGCAAGAAACACAACAACAGGAGAGACAACGGATCGCCGAGGGAACAAATCAGCGAAACAGCGAGGAAATGCCCCTGGAAAATGTATTTTTCGTTATCAAGCACCCAAATATATCGCACTCAATGACGCCATCATCAGAGATACGAATAACAAGAATTAACAGGATACAGGATATTTTGGCCAAAAATTAATGAGATACCGGATACTCAGATCTCCCCTTAATGGGGCCTCTTCAGTCTATACACAACTACAACTCGGAGCATTGCGCATCAAGTAAGCACGTGCTTTAATGTCACGCAGCTTGTCACAATTCCCTTACTCTTTGCAGCCTTCAGCAAGTTTATGAATAACCATTCCAGTCAAAAATCATTTTCTCCCAACATCGTTCGACTACAATGCAATTTTGATAAATGTATCTTAATGCACTGTCAGCTGTTAAATGGCATTTGTATGATTTCAAAGATAAATGTATCTTAATGCACTGTCAGTTGTTAAATGGCATTTGTATGATTTCAAAGGCAGTAACTTTTTTGATGCAGTGGCTTACAAAGCACTGAAATCATTTTGAGAGTACCTGCTCCAGTTTTTCCTCAAGAACGAAATTCGATCTCTCTTTTCCTTCTTTCAACCAAAGAAGGGCAGTCGTTATCTTTATTTTGAATACATTTAGCCCTTCTGAGAGGGGCAATTTGAAAATTTAAGTGACTTCTGCAATTCCTTGAAAACAACCTGTCCCAATGCCACAATATTTAATGGCAATCATAGCTTTCTCCATCTGGTTTGAGCAGATCCTGCCTTCTACACTCTGGCCTGTGCGGCCAATGTAAAAATGGGAAGGGGTAAGCAAGGGTTCAGCCCAATGTCCCACAATTAGTCACAGGTACTTGTTTAAGCTAGTTATTATACACATGCAGTTAGTTGTTATCGAACAAACCTTTGTTCGCGTGGCATACGTGTACTTCCTTGTCCCAGACTTATTTTGCCCAAATGATTGACTCAACGATAACAAATGCACAACATTACATGGTCAATTTAAAAAGGGGATGGATCGACCTTGAAATTTTGTCAAGATGTTATCAATGTTGAATACGTTTTCTCTAATTTTTGATTCAGAAACGTAACTGCTGTCGAGCTAGGTATTATCTAAAATAAGACATTCGTGACGTTTTTGGATCATATTTCTGAACCTTGTGCTTTGTGGCAGTATCGAGTTATTGTGTTGCAAATCGAACGTTTTTAAAGTCGTCACTATTCTGGTAATTTCATTGCGTTAAGTTCCAACTATTCCTTGGTGCACAGAGAGGACAATCAATCAGAAAGCTTTTTATTACTAAACTGAGAAATTAAACTTAGTTTACACACATAATATATTAATACAAAAAAGGTAATATTTACTCAGAATAACTGGAAAGCTAATCTAGCTGAGTAAAAGTAAATAATGTTTAAATATAGGACGTAGGTTGGCACTAAAGCTTGAGCAAAGAAATTATTGGTCAAAAAAAAAAAGACAAAAAATAAATAAATAAAAATAAGATAAACAAAGAAGAAGAAGAAGAAGAAGAGACCAGTTGAAAACTCGTGAACAGTAAGACTGTAAGATGTTTAATTTGACTTTGTTTTTAAATGTTTTACTGAAGGGGTTGGTGTTTAATGCATCGCCTCCATTTTGACTGTAAGAGTAAAGTTAACAGAGCTAAGAAATTCACGCCATGCTCGCATGACAACCACTGACCAGTCAATCGGTAAGCGTGGCTTTGTATTCCTTTAGTTTCATTTCGTCTAAGTTGTACCTTGATTGTTGTTAGTTTTATCTTGCGTTCGTGTATTTTTTGTAATGTGACTATTGTTCACGGCCTTATTAATTTCGTATCGCTTAAATTAGTCTCTTGTTTGTATTTCAGTTTGACGTTATCGAACATTAGTGGAATATATCATATTGGATCGTACATCCGTTGATTAATGTGTTGATATCAGTTCAACAACCCTCCAACCTTTGCGAGTCTAGAGTTTAGTTACAATTAAAAAAGGACATATGTTAAACTTCTAAGTTTTTTTCCACGAATGGTGAACAAGCGCTCTCAGAAAAATTGACAATGGCTATAAAAAAATTTCATTACTATTTACATACTAGTTGAAAAACTTCCCAGTTTCAAGAAATGCCTAAATTTAAATAATGAAGCCCCTTTCAGAGAAAAGTATTCATCCATGCTAAACTGATTCACAATATGCGATGCACGTATTATACAAATTACACCCCATTGATCCATAACACATGCAGCATATAAGTAGGTAAAAATTGAACCCCAGAGTGCAAGTGCAAACGTTTTACAGACAAAAAAATGCTCTTTTAGTGTCCAAATATGATAACTTACAGGCTTTCGACAAATAAACAATCGTTTGTTTAATAAAGGGGGTAAATTTGTAAAGAAACTTAGGTGCTGCGTCAGTGGAAGAGTATAACAGAGTAATTTAGTATTATCAACTAAGTTTATAACGTAAATTGCACGAGTGAATGCAATCCTCAGTCTTCTTCACTTGACTCTGAATCCTGAGGAAAGAAAGATATATTAGATATACGTCACGAGCGTGGATGGAAAAAGTTTCGGATATAAATACTCAGTTTAAAAATAGAGTAAAGATTAAGTGCTTCTTTTGTATTTTTTGCTTTTTTATAACGATTTGTCGAAGTGTACCTTGATCTCGTAACATTTCTGGCTCTTCATAAGTGTTAGGTCGGATCAAGAGCTTATACAAACAAGTTTATAATCTCCTGGTCAGATGGCAAAGAATAAATTTTGCTAATGGAATTTGACATGGAGCGAGGAATTGAAGCTAAATTCGTGAAGCAGGGTATATAAAATTTAAGAAACAGATTTGAAATTTTGAAGGCTAATCTCAAAGCTCATCTGCAGTTCAGTGGAATCACAGAAACAAAAGTCAAATTCTGCCGGAAAATTACGGAAAATATGACGTCTCAAAGTATCAATCAGCAAAACTAGAAGGCTCTTTCCTCCACAGCGACCGGCTGTCTTAGCAAATGAACACATGGTTTAGGGACAGTTCAACTTTCAACACCCACCTCAAGATCATTTTTTTTATCGATTTTTCTCTCTTCTCTTGTTCCATAAATCGCCTTCAGTTGATCCTAGTATCATTGGAGTGAATTACGAGAGTTAATGCCGAGGAACTGAATTTTAAAAGTTTTCCTCCAAATTATACTTTGAGTAAAATGATATCTTACCTGCTTTGTGCTGTCTATTATTCAAAACATTATTCTCCCAAGCTCTTGCTAAATTCATCAAAGGGGGTAAGTTTCTAAGGAAACTGTGCTGCTGCTTTGGTGGGGGGAAGTTAAAAGATGATTTGGTTTTTATCGGCGGTTAATAATATAAACTGGCCACCATAAAGAGCCTCTAAAGCTGACGTTACCAGCTTTAGGCCTTCTTCAGAGTGAATGACAAACTTTGTTGAGGAAAAACAAACAACCTTTTTTTTCAATTGCTACAGGAGCACAGTGATCATGCCACAAAAGAAAGAAAAACTTTGGCACTGCTGGAGATAAGAAATTTTTTAGAAATATGAGAAAAACTAATGAAATTCGTAGCTTCATTTCTACACGTAATCACGCGAGGTTCGGGAATATTTTTATGGAAAGTGTCAGTTAACGATTTCTCCATGGTCACGCGTAGGATATGAGTTGGACATAATCAATGCCATGTCCGCAGTAATTAACATTCATTCGACAATATTTACTAAGCCTGGGGCAGCCGATTGTTTTAATTTGATTTTAGAGCTAACCCAACAGAGAAAACGATAATCAACGGTCACCAACGCAATTTATTTCCAGTGTAAATTTTTTGTTTCCTGGAGTAAGCACAGTTAACGATCATGCCGCCCTTGTATTCCCTGGACAAATTTACCAGCTATGTTATAAAAATACTTGAAAGACGGACTGTTACGACAGATTGTCTAAGTTAAGTCCTAGAAATTCCCCAGAACTGTCTAGAACCCGAAGTCATCTAGACGTGACCTGCTAGTAAAAAGATCATTCTGGAACGTTCTATTTCTTACGTAATTATTCAAAGTTAGAAACCGTGTTAATCTACTAAATTTAGTTCTTTAGAGATTTAGATCCTTGTACTTTATGTATATAAGAGCGACAGTTTCATCAAACGAAGAGAGAGAATTGTGAAGAGGCTTAGTGCTGTAAAGACAAGAAGTCAACTACGTGGAAATAAAATAGTTTGTTGCCGTTACCAATGATCCTGAGTTTTGTCTAGGAACAACCTTACTCTACATCGACACTCGTAACACGGACGAAATTTGGCAGTGCGCGCGCACTAATAGTAATTTGCACTTATGTTGCAACTTTACACTCGTATTACACGAAAATTTCACATGTTTTAAGCCAGTCAGACACGCGTATTGTTTTAATGTATATTATTAGTATGGGTAACAGCATGAGCTCGAGTGCAATTTGATATTAATAAGCACTTTTAAATTTTTCAAAGACTACAAATTGCACTCGCCCTACGAGCTCGTGTAAGTTTGTTGTCTGGAACATTTTCTTGAGCTAATTAGCACCAAATTACACACGAAATCATTTTGTTACCTATACAGTGGAACCTCGAATTAACGAACCTCTCGGTATAACGAACAATACTCTTCAGCCCGGTCAAAGTTACAAATCTGGGTAGCGCGACATCACAACACGAAAATAAATAATATTAATTATAAAAAAATTATTAACCTGCCCTCAGTATAACGAAAAATTTGGTTGTTTTTCCGCAAATTCGTTGAATCAGGTTTTCGATATAACGAATCCTCGATATAACGAACCAATTTCCCCAGTCCCTTGGCACTTCCTTAAATCTCTTTGGCTCGAAACTATACACGGATATTTGTCCTTGAAATTATATGTTACATATATATATACATAAGTCTGACGAGCGCTTAGGCGCGAAACTCAGAGTAACAGAGAATTGATGCGTCCTCTTTGAGTCTTTAACTTATGTATACTTAGCTCTGCTACCACAGCATTGAGCACTTTATGCCAAGGTAGACTCTACCCCCACATTTATATATATATTGTCTTCGGCACCACCAACCATTACATCCAAAGTTATCCTCATCTCCCTACCAAACATGAGCTCGAACGGGTTGTGCCCCGTGGAGGAATGAACACTACTGCGATAGGCCATCATGCAGAAATCAAGGTGCTCATCCCGTGTAGCTGGATTATCTTCAACTTTAGCTTTTAACATGCTCCTTAAGGTTTGTGCAGATTTTCTACTTAGCCGTTGCCCTCAGGGTGATAAGCACTTGTGTGAGTTTTGTTAATACTCAGTAGCTGCCACATTTCCGAGAATATTTTTGACTCAAATTAAGGCCCTGGTCGCTATGAATGCTGTCAGGCACACCAAATCTGCAGATCCAGTTCCTTACAAGCACCTTTGCACAGGTTGTGGCACACTGGTTGGAGATTGCAAACACCTCAGCCCATTTAGTAAAACTGCACTGAACTTTTAAAATGTAGCGGTTTCCTCTCCGAGACCGTGACAAGGGACCAACAATGTCAATATGGATGCGTTGCATGGGGTTGCCAGAGGTAAATGACTGCATTGGTGCTCTGGGTTTTTCTCTTGGCTTACACTTAGCACAGGTCAGACATCGATCGCAGTAACGATGCACCTCTTTGGTCATACCAGGCCTCCAGAATCTAGCTTTCATCTTCATTAGAGTCATTCATTCATTCATTCATTCAGTCTTTCATTCGTCCTGGGTGGGCACCAGCAACGCCATCATGAACTTCGACAAGGGCCTTCCCCAATAACTGTTTCGGTAAAACCATCTTCAGTTTAGCTTGAGTAGTGTGGGCAGCTGACTTTATATAGAGAACCCCCTGTTGTAACAACAACAGTTCAGACTAGGCCCAGACAGCACGGGTAGCACAGCTCATTGACTGAAGTTCTTCAACAGCTGGTTTCCTCCACTCTTTCAACAAATGACTAGGTACCACGCTGATATCTGGATCATCTCTTTGGGCCTTTGCAACCACTTTTGGGGACCAATAATTTCTCACTTCACTTGGGGTTTCACTGGCCGGAAGGTCTCTAGTAACAGCAGCAACTTGGGATAATCCTGTTGGAGTACACGACAGACAATTCCCATGTTGTCGTCTGGGCCTTGTAGACAAGGCGTCTGCATTGTTGTGTAACCTCCCCGGGCGATGTTGTATCTCATAATCATACTCCTGTAAGCGCTCTAGCCAACGGGCCACTTGTCCTTGAGGCTCTTTAAAAGACATTAGCCAGACTAATGAGTGATGATCAGTCATCGGGCGGAATTTTCGTCCCAACAAGTAGTAGCGAAAATGGTCCATATAGGATACCAGAGCTAGCATCTCTAATCGAGTCGCGCAATAGCTCTTTTCGTGCTCATTCAAAGAACGACTCCCATAGTTTATCACACGCTCAATCCCATCGGGTTGCAATTGAGATAAAACAGCGCCAATGCCCACGTGTTGGCTGGCATCTATGTCAAGTACGAATAATCCTGCATCAGGACTAAAATCGGGAAATGCTAAGACGGGTGCAATGGTCAAGCGATATTTCAGTTCATTGAAGGCACTTTCTTGTTCCATCTGCCACTGGAAAGAAACACCCTTCCTGGAAAATTTGTAGAGTGGTTCTACGATGATGGAGAATCCAGAATTAAACCGCCTATAGTAACTTGCAAGACTAAGGAAGCTTTGGAGCTCTTTGATGTCTACTGAGGTTGGCCACGTTCTGACAGTCTCAACCTTGTCAGGGTCAGTTTTGATCCCTTATGAAGAGACAACATGCCTTAGGAACGAAACTTCTCTCTTCAGAAACTGACACTTAGATGGCTTCAGCTTGAGACCAGCAGTTCGTATCCTGTCAAATACTAAACGTAGGCGACGCAGATGTTCCTTGAATGAAGGGGCCCAAATAATAATATCATCCAAATACACAAGACAGGTTGTCCAAGTCAGTTCACTGAGAGCTAGATTCATCAATCTGGTAGAACAAAGCTGGCCCATTCGTGAGACCAAATGGCATAACCCTCCATTCGAATTGCCCACGATGGGTCAAGAACGCTGTTTTGGGCCTGTCCTCTTCTTTTACTTGCATCTGCCAATACCCAAACGCCAAATCGAGACAGGAGGACCATTGGCCACCACCCAGTGCTTCCAAGACATCATCGGTCCTCTGAAAGCCCATCTGAATTTGGCTGAATAACTTTTGCCCTTCTATTCTCTCTTTCTGTACTTTCCTGCTTGTCATCCCCCATATTCCTGTCTATAACTGAACAGTATGGATGGTTAGGTGCTGATGGAATGGGGCCAATTTCGGTGGGAGTAGCACTGCCATTTACACCGCTGACAGGATGATATTCAGCAACAGGGAGATTGGATCATAATCTGACAACTTTGTTGGAGAAGTTGGCCACTCGAACCGGAGTCTGTCCTGCCTTTGGCACTACTAGGGAACGAGCAATATCTATCTCAGAAGTCCCTTGTAGTTCTTTTGACCCCTCCAGGATTCCAGGGCTTATGGAATTCTGTTCGTAACCTCCTTCTAATCTAGCTCTTATCACTTGTTCAGTCCCAGGTTCTAGCTCTGCATCAGCACATAAAAAGATTCTACAAACACTTGGTGTAGCCTTGCGGTATCTGATTGGAAGTTTCGAATCTCCTACTACAAGAGTTCCTGTGTCATAGTGAATTTGACACTGATAGTGCTAAGAGAAATCTGAACCTAGTACAAAGTCGTGGGCTAAACCTTGCACTATTGTAACAGGCCAGGAGCATTCAATCTTTCCCATACGAATTCGCACTTCAGTTTCTCCCAGAACAGTCAGCTCATTGCCATCGGCTGTAGTAAGTCTTCCAGCAATTGGCTCCGGTTTTAAAACAGTTCCACTTTTTTCCACGCACTCTCACTCAACACACTGACAGTAGCACTAGTGCCAACAGTATACACATCAAACGATGATTCACAAGTCCCAAAACATAAATCCCAGACTCTGATAAGACGGACAGCACACTTTCATTTCGAGACACACCGAAATTCTCCATAATAAATTCAGTTTCTACCAGGCCTACCTGACCTTGTCCTACGGGGACTGGATGGCCCTCCGCAAGCCCCGTCTTACGTTTCCCGATACTTTAGTTGGACATTCCCGCGCAAAGTGAGGGCATATTTGTCTGTGGCAAGAATAGCACACTGCGTCATCACGGCGCCTCGGAGTTGTTGTTGCCCTTGTCTCGTTTTTTCTTTCCAGTTCCTTAATTTTCTCGTTCATGCCCAGAACAAATTCCTTTAGCTCGCTTATCCCTGTCGAAATCCTCTCGTTTCCAGCCGAGGTGCTGACTACACTCACGGATTACTTCTTCTCAACTGACGGAGCCGCTTGACATGCTTTACGCACGCTTTCTAACTGGCGAACCACGCGAACTGCCTCTACGAGTGATCCCGATTGACTGATAAATAACTTCTCTCGTATGTCATTACTCACTACCACTCCTTAAATAAACTGATCTCTGGCCAACTGCACTTTGAATGGTTAAGCTGTGTCTGGGTACGCATTCTTGACTAATTCTAGCAGGCTATCGGTGAATCCCTCGAAATCTTCGTTCGGCTTCTGACACCTCGCACGTAGCTGCAATTTATAATCTTCCCTCGTCTTACTCGAAGCGAATCGAATAGAATCTATCAACTGTGCCGTCGAGTGCTTTCTGATATGGAGGGGCGGCTTGGTCAAAGGATGCTTTGTCAGATGATAGGGACGACAGTCGTTTGTTGATGCCGGCCGGAATATTCTTTATGGTGATTGGCGGGTGGTTGCTCTCGCGGTGAACGTATCGCAGTGAAGTATTCAGCTTTTTGTAAATGGCTGATAAGTGCTTCGGTTAAGGTTAAATGTGACGTCTAGGAAGTTGATTATTTGTTTGTTACTTCGATGGTGATGCGTAGACCTTTAATATATAGATTTAGCCAAGCCTAAAAGTGGAGCTCGCATTTTTTTTCCCGCACGTCTCAAGGGCACAACGCCTTGCCCCGGCCAGGACTAGAACCTGGGTCGTCCGACTCGGAGCCCAATGCACTGACCACTAGGTTACTGGACATAGCTATAGCCGTGACGTTGGTGTGACCGCGGTAGAGTTAACCACGCATGCTAAAAGTAGCATCTTGTATGGTCGGTCGTATGGTCATAAGTCCAAATTTTTTCGGCTTGATGGGTTATTGCTATTTTGTATAATTATGGGGCTACGCTCTGCGAGCTCCGCTTTTATTAAAGATGCGACATCTTTCTTTCTTGATGTTCTCTGTGTCTCTCGGTGTGGCGTTAGTGATGGCTAGTCCGTCGTCTCGGTAAAGTCCTAAGTTCATATTAAGATCCTGGAGTTGGGAGAGCAGAACGCTTCCCACGAGTTCACATGTTTCAGCGCCGTCGTTGCTTCCCATTGTTACGTCGAACGTTGTGTTACCTTTCTTTTGCCAGGGTAGGTTCTTGTGGATTAAGATGGAGTTTTTTGCGTGGATTAAAATGTTTCTTTCGTCGGTGGTGATGTTGTCATAGTCGGAGGCGAAGTCGAGTGCTTTGTTTAGGAGGTCTTGGCTGATGAATGGGTAGAACTCTTCGATGTCTAAACAGACGAAGCTGGAGTGTTGTTTGTTTTCTATAGATTTGAACCAGTTGATTACGGCTGTGGTGTTTTTCCATTGGTCGAAGTTGCGTTTTTTCGCGATTGTGCTGATGATGCGGTCGAGGATCTTTTTGCTGACTTTGCCTATCTCGGACTTCGTGGGGTTGATGAGTCTGCAGGTCGGTTTGTTTGCGAAGTTTGGCTTGTGATCCTTAAGTGTTATGAATACGTCTTTATCAACTGTAGTGTCTACTCTGTCGTCGATTCCCAGTTTCGTCGCGATGTCTCTGTTTTCTTTATGGATTGCTTGTGTCGTCTCAGGTAGTGCCTTCTTGTAGGATTTCGTGATGTTTTTTTCTAGCAGATCGTTGTAAATAGGTGGCTCAAGTTTGTAGAAGTTGGTTGTTTTGTCGGCGGCGATTAGTAGCTCGGGCTCATTTTTCATGTGGTCGGTGTCTTCTTGTCATCTGCAGACCCGAACTATCAACACTAAACAAACGTAATGAACTCGTGTCTTCCTGCCGCCACAGAAACAAAGCCCTCCTACACAACGACTAAACTGTTAAATTTCGCGCAGCATAAATTCGATTATATTGTATATAAGCGATGGTAAAGATTATTCTCATTAAATTCCCTGATGAGTGGGCAACCACGAAACAGGCTTGTGGGGATGAACTTTTAGTTTATTTGTCTTTTTCCTCCCACAATATATACATCGCTCAACTCCTATGTATTGAGCACTGTTTTACGAAAGTCAAAATTTTACACTTTATATATATATATATATATCTATATACATGTATTATTTAATACTTGGAGTACAGTGTACTCGTTAGGTAGGTAAATATTTTGTCATAACGTTTACCTTGGTGTAGCGTGGAAATTCCGGCAGTGAACATGAAGGACGCTGTTTAATTTTGCAAGCCTTCTCAGTTCCTTCTTCCTCTCGATCTTTTTCGTCTGCGTTGCCTTTCTTTCTCTCCTGCAAATGGGTGAAATTCACATGAGAAGAATATATCCAATGGATAATGTTTCAAATGCAAATTATAACAAAGTTCGGATGTGTCACGGGCTGTCCTTTGTTGAAACAGGGTACTCTTGAAGAGAATGGCAAAAAGAAAGAGAAAGAGAGCTAAAGCTGTCACGCCAACTGCCAAATGTACAATATCCGACCTTTTCCTGGAGTTCACTCTAGCTTTCTTTTTGTTAATTGAAGGTGAAATTTCGGAACAAGCAAGTCGGCAAATAGCAACAGAAGAACTAAACAAAGACTTTTAAACGTGTCAAGCGCCGTAATTGACGTTATCATAACGCAAGCAGAGACAAAAATCCTCTAGGTTTTCAAATTCGGTTAGATTGCAAGCTTACTTACGGTAATAAAAATCAAACACAGCTAATACTTGTGTAGTATAAACATTTTCGTATTCATTAAACAAACAGGAATGATCAAAAGTATAGCCAAACTGGCATAACTGTTAACAATTCAGACTAATAACGAAGAAGTCAGGCGACTGCGATCATGCTGGCGTCCATCACGGCTAGCTCATCATGGCGATATCCGGTCATTGCAGGGAAGCAAGCCTCAGAAATCACATCGACCGCCCTTCGAGTGAACAACTGAGAGTTTTCCCTGATATCCTCTCCGATGCGTTGAGTGGAAGGCCACATCAGTCACAGCAGCCGAGTTCTACGGCGATTTCATCTCTGTTCCTGTGAATTCGGTTGTCGTTCATTCATAAAACACACGCCTTGAGCAGTTTGTTTTCTAGTCGTCAAGTGGAAAACTCGTAAGTTTTTATGAGCTTCAATTCGGCCGGATTTCGCTGAACATTTCACTTTCAGATTCTGTATTTGAGACAAAACCTTCAGGAAAACGTGTCAAATTCGACCTGCCGAACTATTTCAGTGTGTAAGCAACTACAAATTGTAAATTTGATGGTTTGTAGGCTTTGATGGTTTGAAATTTTTGACAGCTTTAGTTTTGTTCAACCAGTCAGATTATTTGAACCATCCTACCAAGGATTCTGATTGGCTTATTGTAGCGTGCTTTCTAAGAATATAAGAATATAAGAATATAAAGAATATATAGCATGGTGACGACTCTGTGGTTCGCTTTGAAAATAAAGTCTGTTATGAAAATTGAAAGCAATGTGTAGGGAATTTAACAGATTCTTTATTATAAAACAAATAGAGAAGCCCTGACTGTGCACTCAAGAAGTGGGGAGAAACACTCGACCACGTCTCGTGTTTCTTCCTTCTCTTCTTTCCTGCTCTAGCCGCCTCCTACATGCTTTACAACACAACAGAGCACAGTTAAGGCTTCTCTATTTGTTAATTAGTTGATGAAACTGCAGCCGGTCTTATTAATGCACATATCTGCGAGGAAGACAATTTGGCGTCGCTTATCTGCATTACAAAAGGCGAGCAAACTTAACGATGAAAAGGATAAAAATCTTCCAAAGATTCGAAAATTGCGATTTACCTTTAATCCCAATCTCAAAGTCATAAGGCCCGTAAAATTTGTGATTTAGACTTGGTTTCAAAGAGCCGCCATCTAGCACTTCGGAATCGCGAAGCAAACAACTTAGGACCGAAAAGCTTTCTGCTGATAAATTGCAGAAATTTGAGAGAACAAATCTATTTTTCAGAAAAACCTGAACAGAAATGTCCGATTTTTAAAGAAAAAACTTGTCTGGCAAGTTTTTCGCCGGCTAAACAGGAAATGTTTGCATGTTTTCGATGATGGCGGCT